CTGGTCGCCTCGTGTGGATCCTCTCGCATTTCGCCCACCTGTTTTTGATCGTGGACAGGACGACCCTTTTGAGTTTTTTTCTGGTGCCTGAGAGGAGGTTCGACCATGTCTGGTCGGCCTCGTGTGGACCCTCTCGCTTTTTCACCACCTCGACGGCGGCTTCGGACGTCGCCCATGCCTTCTTCGGCCCGTGGGTGGCGCGCTTCTGGACCCCGTCTCGCCTCGACTCTACGGTTTCGGACGTCGCCCATGCCTTCATCGGCCCGTGGGTGGCGCGCTTCGGGACCCTGCCTGGCCTCTCCTCTAACCGCGGCTCACGGTTCGCCTCGACGGCGGCTTCGGACGGCGCCCCGTCTGGCCTCTCCCCTGTCCACAGCTCCCTCCTCCCGGGGACACGACTCCTTCCTCCCCGAGGACTTCGTACCCGCCGCCGCTGTGCCTTCGCCTGCGGCCGGGCAGCGCTCCTCCCTGCTGGGGACCACTGGGATGTTCTCGCCTATCCCCACGTCACAACACATCGACCCTGCTTTCTGCGGCCCCCTGACGACGGCCCGTTCCGGCCCGCCCCCCACCCCCCGGTGGGGATGCCCTCGCCCTCGTTAGGGCCCCTACCCTCTCCTGCGGCCCCCTGCCGACGGCCCGTTCCATGGCCCGGCCCTCGCCGGCGGCCCCGCCCTCCTCGGCCCCTGTGGTGCTTCCTCCCGGAAGCGAGGATTGTGTCCATGGTTGAATTCTGGGGGGGCTTGTGTAGTGATCACTGATTCATACACTGAGGTTACATATTCCAATCATGGAACTACAGGTTGGGGGTACTGTTTCCGCACGGACACATATGTTGACGGTACCTACTGTGTACCTACTGTGTGCCCTCCTTTCACTTGTAGTCTTCTCTTCCCGGGCTGCGACCCGACAGCATGTGCATTTCTGCTGCTCAATAAAGCCAGATTTGCACCTTCGATGCACCGCCTCCGACTCCTATCTCTCGGCACTACACTCTTTAGTTATTCTGACTACGTTAAGGTAGGGTAGGTAAGTTTGAGAAACCGGCTCGAGATCGCTAGAATTTGAAAATACACAACCGGAGAAAATCTGCCACTTCCTTAGAGAGCCCCTCCTCCAACACACACGAACGTGCACATGACCAATGAGGGCACGAGATAAGTTTGTGCCCCGATGAAAGGCTGACAGGCAGGTAGGCCATCAGTTATTTTAGCCGGGCCGGCTAAAATGATTTGGTCGTGCTTTTTACAGTACTACGGCTTCCACAGATGACATTTTTTATGGATTTGTTGTCAAAGCACTTAAGATATCATTGCTATCGGGATGTTAAGAGCATTCCATGGAATATAACAACAAGTGTATCTCGAGCCGGTTTCTCAAACTTACCTACCCTACCTTTAGCTACGTTAGCTAGCTAGCTTCCAGCAGATCTGCAGTGACATCAGAAGGAGTCATGTGATCACTTTGTTAATAAGACCATCAAACATTTGAGGTAAGTTTCCAACAACAGAAAACGTCACCAAGTGTGTGTGCGTCACTCTTTAGTGTCCCCTGGTCTCCCAGCTGTGTGCGTCACTTTTTAGTGTCCCCTGGTCTCCCAGCTGTGTGCGTCACTCTTTAGTGTCCCCTGGTGTCCCAGCTGTGTGCGTCACTCTTTAGTGTCCCCTGGTCTCCCAGCTGTGTGCGTCACTCTTTAGTGTCCCCTGGTCTCCCAGCTGTGTGCGTCACTCTTTAGTGTCCCCTGGTCTCACAGAGTAGCAGAGCAGGAGAGTAGGAGAGCAGGAGAGCAGGAGAGCAGGAGTACGAAGTAACAAAAGCTCTGAAATACTTCAGAACAGAAGTTGAGTGAATGCCATTATTGACTTTCCCCCCTCAGTCTAGGAGCCACAGACAGCTCTTTGTTCAGACTCAGTTTCTGCAAGTCTCTGATTTAAAGAGTGCAGCGAGGGACTCTTTAAACGTTACACAGTGTTTAGACGTCTCGCTGGAAGCTTCCGGAAGGTTCCCCCCCGACCCGTGACTTACTGATGTTTGTTTGCTCGGAGGCCATCTTTGTTTATGTGCTGAACGGGAGTCCAGTTTCCATCTGGAGGAATAATCAGTGCCGTGTGTGAGCCAACACACACACACACACACACACACACACACACACACACACTCAGTAGCTCCATATGTTTACGTTTTACAGCCGCTGTGATTTGACGCTGCAGGGTTTCCTGAGTGAAGAGACTCAGACACATCAGCAGGAGAGGACTCTTTAAAGTAGAGACACTACATACTGATATACACCTGAACATCAGGAGGAGAGGACTCTTTAAAGTAGAGACACTACTCACTGATATACACCTGAACATCAGCAGGAGAGGACTCTTTAAAGTAGAGACACTACATACTGATATACACCTGAACATCAGGAGGAGAGGACTCTTTAAAGTAGAGACACTACATACTGATATACACCTGAACATCAGCAGGAGAGGACTCTTTAAAGTAGAGACACTACATACTGATATACACCTGGACATCAGCAGGAGAGGACTCTTTAAAGTAGAGACACTACTGATATACACCTGAACATCAGCAGGAGAGGACTCTTTAAAGTAGAGACACTACATACTGATATACACCTGAACATCAGCAGGAGAGGACTCTTTAAAGTAGAGACACTACATACTGATATACACCTGGACATCAGCAGGAGAGGACTCTTTAAAGTAGAGACACTACATACTGATATACACCTGAACATCAGCAGGAGAGGACTCTTTAAAGTAGAGACACTACATACTGATATACACCTGAACATCAGCAGGAGAGGACTCTTTAAAGTAGAGACACTACATACTGATATACACTGAACATCAGCAGGAGAGGACTCTTTAAAGTAGAGACACTACATACTGATATACACCTGAACATCAGCAGGAGAGGACTCTTTAAAGTAGAGACACTACTGATATACACCTGAACATCAGCAGGAGAGGACTCTTTAAAGTAGATTTAAGGAAATGCATTTACTATGTATAGTTTGAATCTTAAAGCTTTATATTTTCTCAGTGAGACGTAGAGACTGATATCTGAGGACTCTTTAAAGTAGAGGAGAGCAGTGATTTACTGAGCTCCCGCTCTGAAGCTTTATTTTGGCGGGACAGGAAGGGGCTCTGTGTTTGTCCTGGCCGCTCTCCTCCAGATTCCTCTTCTCTCAGAGGAAATGAGCTTTATGAGCTTTATGAGCTTTATGAGCCAGACGGCTGGGACACATTTATTATGGAAATCTGTCCAGGAAGTGCTGCACGCTCCATTACAGCCACCATGTGGAGAGAGGGGAGCCAATCACAACGCTCCATTACAGCCACCATGTGGAGAGAGGGGAGCCAATCACAATGCTCCATTACAGCCACCATGTGGAGAGAGGGGAGCCAATCACAACGCTCCATTACAGCCACCATGTGGAGAGAGGGGAGCCAATCACAACGCTCCATTACAGCCACTATGTGGAGAGAGGGGAGCCAATCACAATGCTCCATTCAGAACTCTATCTGAGCCACATCTGAGTCTGGTTAAACATCAGCATCAGCCAGTCTATGACAGAGCACAAGCCGCCATGAGGTAGTTCACTGGTCAGGGACGAAGGTTCCCTGGCTCACGTTCTTTTCTCTGGACGAGAGCTCTAGTTAGATTCAGGGTCCATAATGTTTAGTCTCACTGATAAAGAATGTTGATTATTTCACTCTGAACTAGTTAAAACCTGGAGCTGCAGAAAGAGTTCTTCAGAATCGGTTTGGCAACCGCCGTGTCAACTCGTGACACACCACCTGTTTTGTGAACTCTCCGGGCGTAACTCCAAATAAACCGTCAGTGTTTGCCATCAAAGCTCCAGCTCTCCTCGTGCCTCTCTGAGTCCTGACTCTCCATTGCTTCAGAAGTTTCCACCACAAAGTGTATAAACTTTATTAGCAGCGTTCCTCTCAGACAGGAGTTCATGAGTCTCCTCTCTGAACACTAGCAGCTCACAGTGAGTCTCCTCTCTCTGAACACTAGCAGCTCACAGTGAGTCTCCTCTCTCTGAACACGAGCAGCTCACAGTGAGTCTCCTCTCTCTGAACACTAGCAGCTCACAGTGAGTCTCCTCTCTCTGAACACTAGCAGCTCACAGTGAGTCTCCTCTCTCTGAACACTAGCAGCTCACAGTGAGTCTCCTCTCTGAACACTAGCAGCTCACAGTGAGTCTCCTCTCTGAACACGAGCAGCTCACAGTGAGTCTCCTCTCTGAACACTAGCAGCTCACAGTGAGTCTCCTCTCTCTGAACACTAGCAGCTCACAGTGAGTCTCCTCTCTGAACACTAGCAGCTCACAGTGAGTCTCCTCTCTGAACACTAGCAGCTCACAGTGAGTCTCCTCTCTGAACACTAGCAGCTCACAGCGAGTCTCCTCTCTCTGAACACTAGCAGCTCACAGTGAGTCTCCTCTCTCTGAACACTAGCAGCTCACAGTGAGTCTCCTCTCTCTGAACACTAGCAGCTCACAGTGAGTCTCCTCTCTGAACACTAGCAGCTCACAGTGAGTCTCCTCTCTGAACACTAGCAGCTCACAGTGAGTCTCCTCTCTGAACACTAGCAGCTCACAGTGAGTCTCCTCTCTGAACACTAGCAGCTCACAGTAAGTCTCCTCTCTCTGAACACTAGCAGCTCACAGTGAGTCTCCTCTCTCTGAACACTAGCAGCTCACAGTGAGTCTTCAGTCCTGCTGCAGGTCATCTGTTTATACTTCCTGTGTTTGTTTCTTGTGTTTATACTTTATTCCAGCTTGTAAACACACTGCTGTTGAAATATGTATCCGTCCAGTTAAACTGCTGAATGGAGAAATGAGACTTCCTGTTTCCAAACAGCTGATCTCATGAAGACAGTCGGAGGAAAAAGGGAACATTCTTAGAAAAGTCAAAAGTGGTGGAAATCTAAAAATGGTGACAGAAAGTGAGCGTTGTGTTGTCTCTCCCCAGGGTCATCAGCTATGAGTGCTGTCCAGGGTACGAGAAGATCCCCGGGGAGAAGGGCTGCCCTGCAGGTGTGACCTCTGACCTCTGAGATCAACAACAATAATAATGACAATAATAATAACAATGATTTTAATAATAATTATAATGAAGAAAATAATCATTACAAAATGATATTAAGAACAATAGTGAAATAATAATGAATTACTAAATGTTTGGTGAATAATGATCAATATTACATTTAATAACAGATATAAGTCAAGTTTAGAAAAAACCTACGATTAGTCATGTTTACATACATTAACAAATCTCTCTCTCTCTCTGTGTGTGTGTGTGTGTGTGTGTGTGTGTGTGTGTGTGTGTGTGTGTGTGTGTGTGTGTGTGTGTGTGTGTGTGTGTGTCTGTGTCTGTGTCTGTGTCTGGTGTCTGTGTGTGTGTGCAGCGCTGCCCCCTGGTGAACATCTACAACACGTTGGGGGTGGTGGGGGCCTCCACCACTCAGATGTACTCTGAGCGCGCTGAGCTGAGGCCGGAGATCGAGGGTCCGGGGAGCTTCACCTTCTTCGCCCCGAGCAACGAGGCCTGGGCCGCTCTGCCTACTGTTAGTACACACACACACACACACACACACACACACACACACACACACACACACACACACACACACACACACACACACACACACACACACACACACACACACTGGGATCAACAACACAGAGCATCCCTGGTTTAAATCACATCTCTCTGGCCGCACTCAGTTCATCCACTCACAGCCACTTCCAGTCACTACCGGGCTCTGTCCTGGGGCCTCTCCTTTTCACCATCTATCCACTTCCTCTTAGCCATATCTTCCACTATCTATGTATTTCTTTATTTCTAAAATATCCCTTTACATGGCCCCTCTATCTTTATTCAACATTCACTGCTATGCAGAGGACACCCAGCTCTATTTGTCCTCCAGCCTCCCTCTGATTGCTCACAGCAGTGTTTCTCAAACGTTTTCATACCAAGGACACTTAACCAATAAAAAAACACTCACAGACCCCCTGACTCCACAAATATCCAGAAACAATAGGCCTGCTCACCACTCCAACAGTTTATAACAAATGACAGCCTGATAATGACAGCTTCACTTCTCTACATCGCCTCGTTCACACATTAAATCAACAATACAAATACAACTACAGATTATATCAGCCTTTCGTTCAAATGCGATTTAAAATGCTCTCAGGTTTTACACCTCTTATGAAATGTAGACTACATTTATTACGGAGTTCATGTCCAACAGACTCACAGATCGTTGGCTACTGAGAGAAATGCTAAACACACCGCATGTAGTTCGACACAAACCTCCGCTCTGAATTTTCTAAACAAAATACAGTAAAACCAGTAGCGTAGGCAGAAATGTACTTTAGGGCGGGCGTGTATAAAATAGGGTGGGCCAGCTTTTTCCAGGGGGGAAAATGACTTCAAGGTAGGCCTGGCCTATAATAACAATATATAATAATGCCCATTGCCAAGCATCGTTGTAGCATTTCCCTCGAGTAATGGTCGAAGACTTGACTGATGATCTGAACTCATTGAAATCTCCAATATCAACGTAAGAGCTATAAAGACACAAAAATAACAAATACATTTAGGCTCAATCCGTATTAGAATCACTTTAGCATACTACCAAAAGTGAACTGTAAACAGACAGCAAAGCTACAAAACAGCATACAAACGAATTAGGACACAACCTATATGTTTATATTATAGTTAATACCAACTTTGTGCCTCTTCGGGGGGTGCTAAACTTAAACATAAACTTTATCCTTTACTTTCTCCGTCTTTATAGATTAATCTCCGCTCCTTTTCTCCGTCACGTTGTTTCCATAGCAACAACAACTTCCTGTCAACTGCGTAAACTCGCCTTCAAAATAAAAGCATCTAAATAACACAGGAAGTTGGCCTAAATGACATTTAAGACATATTTACAACTGCAACGAAAGTAACAAAAACAATGTAATATCCTTTTCAGTTTCACAGAACACAAATTGGGTTATTTACAATCGTTATGTAACTCTTTTATTGCACTAGGTAACAGCAACAGGTTGTAGCACCTGCTCATGGACTTGCAGTGGTCCTCGCTTTTTTATGTCTCTCCAACAAGTTACGCTGTGCTTCCAGTCTACATATCCATCCCTCGTAAATGCACCTTCAGCTCCTGGGCTGGGGAAATGCACATTTGACAGAAAAGCGCGTCCCTGCAGGCAGCTCTCTGCCTCTCTCACGTTACTATGGCGCGCGCCGGAACCAACAACCAGTTTTTACCGTAGATGAGTTCGGTTCATAGGATAAAACACATACAACATTAATTCAACTCGATATTTGTTTACTTGAATTTCACTTTGAATGCTTGGATATTCTCAATGGGTGAATACATTTATAATAATAATAAAAAAAGAAATAAAAAAAAAGATGAATAAATAAAAATGACACTGAAGCTTTCTCAGGGTGGGCCAATGAGTAAACTGGGTGGGCCAATGAGTAAACTGGGTGGGCCAATGAGTAAACTGGGTGGGCCAATGAGTAAACTGGGTGGGCCTGGGCTTTTTCTGTAAAAATGATATTAAAACATGAACCTTGGTGACCATCGGGCTGGCCTGCATGGTCTGCCCCAACAACAGCCTCTGATCATCAACAGACTTCATGCAATGCTTCATTGTATGCACATATTATAATCTCTATCTCACTCCTAACATCTAAATCTACTTCCAGCATGGATAAATGTTCATAAAAGATATCCATTGTTTGTTTTATACGCTTCTTGAAATCTAAAAAAAACACATCGTTTTTCTAGAACAGATTACAAATCGCCTGAAAATGGTACAAACAAGTGGCAACATGTGTGACGAAGGTGTTGCGCTGGGCTATATCATGCAAAGTGAAAGTTAAGCTCGCTCCATTGCGGAGATATGCCCGCGAGAGTGCGGAAAACTTAAATGTATTTATTTATTTAAAATGTGAAATGTTACCAATATACTCACGGACCACACTTTGAGAAGCACTGGCTTACAGGAAATACGTGTGTGTGTGTGTGTGTGTGTGTGTGTGTGTGTGTGTGTGTGTGTGTGTGTGTGTGTCTGTTTGTGTGTCTGTGCAGGAGCTCCTGGACGCTCTGGTCAGTAACGTGAACATCGAGCTCCTGAACGCGCTGCATTACCACATGGTGGACCGGAGGCTAACCTCAGAGGAGCTGAAGCACGGAGCCTCGTTCCCCTCCATGTACCAGGACCTGCACGTCCACATCCACCACTACAGCAACGGGGTACACACACACACACACACACACACACACACACACACACACACACACACACACACACACACACACACACACACACACACACACACACACACAGATAGATAGATGTGAAGTTGCTCCAGGTATTACTAACAGGATGTAGTTATGTCAGCATCATTTGGACTCGTGTGGTGGAAATTCCACACTGAATCACCTTCTGGTATAAAAGGAACAAATAGAAGTTCAAACCAAAGTTGTGTTATTTAATAAAGAGTTATAGCATTTAACAGAATCTATTTCCAGCTGAAGGACAGATAACCTGCAGCACTGACGTAGTTCAAAGATCTGACCCCGTTACAACAGGAAAACAAGCACTTTGTACAGGAAACAGACGAAATGGCCTCAGCTAGAAGTGACATTACAGGAGACACTTGAACTCATGCTGATGATAAACCTAAGATCATATGATGATTGCCTGTAAATGGTCAAGACGCCCCTTCTGTATGAGAGCATTTAGTAGCTAGTGAATTTAAACTGTTTGGAAATCAACCCAAGATACCTATATATATATATATATATATATATATATATATTGACTTATGATACATGTCCATGATAGTGTGTTAATCACATGACATCATGTTGATGTTGTTGATATCTACATGGAGACAAGCCCCGCCTCCTTGTCAGCGAGTCCAGTTTGAGTGACGCGAGTAAACACCAATGATGCCATCCGGTATGACTCACTCTAACAGCCGATTGGTCCTCAGGTGGTTACTCACTCTAACAACCGATTGGTCCTCAGGTGGTGACTCACTCTAACAGCCGATTGGTCCTCAGGTGGTAACTCACTCTAACAGCCGATTGGTCCTCAGGTGGTAACTCACTCTAACAGCCGATTGGTCCTCAGGTGGTAACTCACTCTAACAGCCGATTGGTCCTCAGGTGGTTACTCACTCTAACAGCCGATTGGTCCTCAGGTGGTAACTCACTCTAACAGCCGATTGGTCCTCAGGTGGTAACTCACTCTAACAGCCGATTGGTCCTCAGGTGGTAACTCACTCTAACAGCTGATTGGTCCTCAGGTGGTAACTCACTCTAACAGCCGATTGGTCCTCAGGTGGTAACTCACTCTAACAGCTGATTGGTCCTCAGGTGGTAACTCACTCTAACAGCTGATTGGTCCTCAGGTGGTAACTCACTCTAACAGCTGATTGGTCCTCAGGTGGTAACTCACTCTAACAGCCGATTGGTCCTCAGGTGTTTATTCACTCTAATAGCCGATTGGTCCTCAGGTGGTGACAGTGAACTGTGCCCGGCTCATTAAACCTGACCAGCACGCGACCAATGGGATCGTTCACGTTGTGGACCGCGTCATCACCGCCATCTCCAACACCATCAACACTCTGCTGGAGGTGGACGATGACCTGGAGACACTGCGGGTGAGACACCTTCATTCATCCTCTTCATCTTCATCTTATATCAAATGTGTAGACGAGGGACAGTCTCAGGGCTGAGCGTTACATCATGGTTCTTATAGAAGATAATGTTAGAAACATCTCACTGGTCCCCGGCTTGATCTTCAATCTCAGGATCCATGTATTTGTGATCCTCTCCAGAATGGAAGTAGTCATCACATACAGAGCATCAACTAGTTCCTGAACAGTGTCCTTCACATGCTGATATACAAGAGAGGGAGTTACACAGTCACAAGATGGAGGAATAGAAAGCAGTATTCAATGTTTACTTCAGATTAGCTCCACGTCAGAAATGAGCATGCTTGTCATATGTCTATCTCCATAGAGGCTGAATCATCATGTTAATCACATAGCTATCATATGCCTAAAACAGTCCTGACGCTCTTCTAGGTAATCATACATCCTGTCATGTACACAGCTACAGTTGGGATACCTTTGTTATCATGGTACTCTCATACTGGAGGAGGACATTCAGGAGGGTCTTCCTGAGTCCTCAGTCAGTCCCCAGCTGACTGTGACTTCGACTCTGACTTCCTGTCCCTGACTCTGACTTCCTGTCCCTCAGACGGCGATGGCGGCGGCGGGGCTCAGCACCATGCTGGAGGGGGAGGGGCAGTACACCGTGTTCGCTCCGACCAACGAGGCCTTCGACAAGATCCCCAAGGAGACCCTGAACCGCATCCTGGGAGACCCTGTGGCTCTGAGAGGTGAGTGTTGAGGGTCAAAGGTCAGACACATTATCAGGGTGTACCAAGCCCCCAGGAAGTGCTCCGGACTCTGAGGAAAATATTCCTAGTGGCCATACAGCGGTACTACAACTTCCGTATCAGTCCGTGACGTCACTGGGCCAGAGATACTGTTCCCCATTGACTAACATTGGGAGAGAGACGTCTGTAAATCAGTGGATGATTATTTTTAAACTAAATAAACTACCCAGTAAGAACTAATTTATAGCCCTTATTAGAATCATTGGGTCCTTAAAGTTGTAAAATGCACTAAAAGCCGAATCCAGATTTATTTTCTCTCTCCATTAATTCTACTGAGCCTTAATGACTGGGCTTAATGACAGGAGGCGGGGTTTAAGGGGCGCATACGGGTTCTTCTGCTCTGACAGCAAGGCATGATGGGTAATCTTTGACGTTTTGCTCTCGAGAACGCTGTATTCAGTTCTTATTAAACATCCATGTTCAGACCCCCTGCAGACCAGAAACCTCACTCTCCCCCCCCCCCCCCCCCCCCCCCCCCCCCCCAGACCTGCTGAACTACCACATCCTGAAGCACATGCAGTGCGCCGAGTCCATCGTGTCCGGGACCCCCATGGAGACCCTGCAGGGCTCCGTGCTGGAGGTGGGCTGCGAGGGGGACCAGATGACCCTCAACGGGAGGGCCGTGGTCACCAAGAGGGACCAGATGGGGACCAATGGGGTGGTCCACTACATCAGTGAGCTGCTGATACCCGACTCAGGTACTGCAAGTACTACTAATACTGCTAATACTGGTAATACTGCTAATACTGCTAATACTGCTAATACTGCTAATACTGCTAATACTGCTCCACTACATCAGCGAGCTGCTGATACAGTCAGTACTGCATCTAGTACTGATGGTACTACTGAGAGTACTACTGAGAGTACTACTGAGAGTACTACTGAGAGTACTACTGAGAGTACTACTGAGAGTACTTTTAGAAAACAACGGTACAACTAATCTAAAGTTGGGCTCCATGTGTCCTTCTAGTGGAGGAGACCCCCGTTCAGTGAGTTAGACTCTGACCTGTGTCCCTTTAGAGGAGGAGACCCCCGTTCAGTGTGTTAGACTCTGACCTGTCCCTTTAGAGGAGGAGACCCCCGTTCAGTGAGTTAGACTCTGACCTGTGTCCCTTTAGAGGAGGAGACCCCCGTTCAGTGAGTTAGACTCTGACCTGTCCCTTTAGAGGAGGAGACCCCCGTTCAGTGTGTTAGACTCTGACCTGTGTCCCTTTAGAGGAGGAGACCCCCGTTCAGTGAGTTAGACTCTGACCTGTCCCTTTAGAGGAGGAGACCCCCGTTCAGTGAGTTAGACTCTGACCTGTGTCCCTTTAGAGGAGTAGACCCCCGTTCAGTGAGTTAGACTCTGACCTGTCCCTTTAGAGGAGGAGACCCCCGTTCAGTGTGTTAGACTCTGACCTGTGTCCCTTTAGAGGAGGAGACCCCCGTTCAGTGAGTTAGACTCTGACCTGTGTCCCTTTAGAGGAGGAGACCCCCCGTTCAGTGAGTTAGACTCTGACCTGTCCCTTTAGAGGAGGAGACCCCCGTTCAGTGAGTTAGACTCTGACCTGTGTCCCTTTAGAGGAGGAGACCCCCGTTCAGTGAGTTAGACTCTGACCTGTCCCTTTAGAGGAGGAGACCCCCGTTCAGTGTGTTAGACTCTGACCTGTGTCCCTTTAGAGGAGGAGACCCCCGTTCAGTGTGTTAGACTCTGACCTGTCCCTTTAGAGGAGGAGACCCCCGTTCAGTGAGTTAGACTCTGACCTGTGTCCCTTTAGAGGAGGAGACCCCCGTTCAGTGAGTTAGACTCTGACCTGTCCCTTTAGAGGAGGAGACCCCCGTTCAGTGTGTTAGACTCTGACCTGTGTCCCTTTAGAGGAGGAGACCCCCGTTCAGTGAGTTAGACTCTGACCTGTCCCTTTAGAGGAGGAGACCCCCGTTCAGTGAGTTAGACTCTGACCTGTGTCCCTTTAGAGGAGTAGACCCCCGTTCAGTGAGTTAGACTCTGACCTGTCCCTTTAGAGGAGGAGACCCCCGTTCAGTGTGTTAGACTCTGACCTGTGTCCCTTTAGAGGAGGAGACCCCCGTTCAGTGTGTTAGACTCTGACCTGTCCCTTTAGAGGAGGAGACCCCCGTTCAGTGAGTTAGACTCTGACCTGTGTCCCTTTAGAGGAGGAGACCCCCGTTCAGTGAGTTAGACTCTGACCTGTCCCTTTAGAGGAGGAGACCCCCGTTCAGTGAGTTAGACTCTGACCTGTGTCCCTTTAGAGGAGGAGCCCCCCGTTCAGTGAGTTAGACTCTGACCTGTCCCTTTAGAGGAGGAGACCCCCGTTCAGTGTGTTAGACTCTGACCTGTGTCCCTTTAGAGGAGGAGACCCCCGTTCAGTGAGTTAGACTCTGACCTGTCCCTTTAGAGGAGGAGACCCCCGTTCAGTGAGTTAGACTCTGACCTGTGTCCCTTTAGAGGAGGAGACCCCCGTTCAGTGAGTTAGACTCTGACCTGTCCCTTTAGAGGAGGAGACCCCCGTTCAGTGTGTTAGACTCTGACCTGTGTCCCTTTAGAGGAGGAGACCCCCGTTCAGTGTGTTAGACTCTGACCTGTCCCTTTAGAGGAGGAGGACCCCCGTTCAGTGAGTTAGACTCTGACCTGTGTCCCTTTAGAGGAGGAGACCCCCGTTCAGTGAGTTAGACTCTGACCTGTGTCCCTTTAGAGGAGGAGACCCCCGTTCAGTGTGTTAGACTCTGACCTGTGTCCCTTTAGAGGAGGAGACTCCCGTTCAGTGAGTTAGACTCTGACCTGTCCCTTTAGAGGAGGAGACCCCGTTCAGTGTGTTAGACTCTGACCTGTGTCCCTTTAGAGGAGGAGACCCCCGTTCAGTGAGTTAGACTCTGACCTGTCCCTTTAGAGGAGGAGACCCCCGTTCAGTGAGTTAGACTCTGACCTGTGTCCCTTTAGAGGAGGAGACCCCCGTTCAGTGAGTTAGACTCTGACCTGTCCCTTTAGAGGAGGGAGACCCCCGTTCAGTGTGTTAGACTCTGACCTGTGTCCCTTTAGAGGAGGAGACCCCGTTCAGTGTGTTAGACTCTGACCTGTCCCTTTAGAGGAGGAGTACCCCCGTTCAGTGAGTTAGACTCTGACCTGTGTCCCTTTAGAGGAGGAGACCCCCGTTCAGTGAGTTAGACTCTGACCTGTGTCCCTTTAGAGGAGGAGACCCCCGTTCAGTGTGTTAGACTCTGACCTGTGTCCCTTTAGAGGAGGAGACCCCCGTTCAGTGAGTTAGACTCTGACCTGTCCCTTTAGAGGAGGAGACCCCCGTTCAGTGAGTTAGACTCTGACCTGTGTCCCTTTAGAGGAGGAGACCCCCGTTCAGTGAGTTAGACTCTGACCTGTCCCTTTAGAGGAGGAGACCCCCGTTCAGTGAGTTAGACTCTGACCTGTGTCCCTTTAGAGGAGGAGACCCCCCGTTCAGTGAGTTTAGACTCTGACCTGTCCCTTTAGAGGAGGAGACCCCCCGTTCAGTGTGTTAGACTCTGACCTGTGTCCCTTTAGAGGAGGAGACCCCCCGTTCAGTGAGTTAGACTCTGACCTGTCCCTTTAGAGGAGGAGACCCCCGTTCAGTGAGCTAGACTCTGACCTGTGTCCCTTTAGAGGAGGAGACCCCCGTTCAGTGAGTTAGACTCTGACCTGTCCCTTTAGAGGAGGAGACCCCCGTTCAGTGAGTTAGACTCTGACCTGTGTCCCTTTAGAGGAGGAGACCCCCGTTCAGTGAGTTAGACTCTGACCTGTCCTTTTAGAGGAGGAGACCCCCGTTCAGTGAGTTAGACTCTGACCTGTGTCCCTTTAGAGGAGGAGACCCCCGTTCAGTGAGTTAGACTCTGACCTGTGTCCCTTTAGAGGAGGAGACCCCCGTTCAGTGAGTTAGACTCTGACCTGTCCTTTTAGAGGAGGAGACCCCCGTTCAGTGAGTTATGGCGCGTTTCCACTACACGGCCTCGCTCGGCCCCGCTCGGTATGGCTGGGCCTCGTTAGGACTGGCTCACTTTATGGCGCATTTCCATTACAGTTTAGGAACTGGGGTAGTATCTATAGTAACGCAGTGTAGGCGGAGCCGTGACGTGATCTTCAATGAGAACCCCAGAAAAACAACACAGCCGTTAGCTGTTAGCACTCAGAGCTCACAGCTCCTCATATATGTTCAGAAACTAGACAAAAGTTAAACAAGTACAAACCACAGACTGTCTGTGTCATGGTGAATACAGTCGCTGCTTTATTTATGTCTGTATAGGCCGTTGTTGTGAGTGTGGACGGTCGGAGCATATACTGCGTTAGCTTAGCCAATCTCCATTTAGAAAACACGCATTTTAAAAGGTTTTTCGCCTGCCGTCTGTCTGCAGACTTGACAAAGCATTAATTCATGGTTTTTACTAACCGGTATCAGTATGTTATTACTTCGGCATCATTTTGAAACGTGTATTACAATTAAATCACGGTCAAATATGTCCATCTTGTTGTAGTTGTAGCCCCCTTGCCAGCGATGCTCTCTCTAGTTTACAGTGGCGACTGGTCATTAGGGGCAGGTGGGGCACAGCCCCACCTAGTGTCAGCAGAAAGTATTACAAATAATGATTACAAAAATGCAAAAAAATAAATAAAAAAATATATAAAATATATTTTAAGATCATGTTTAATCATCTGATTCGTCTGTACATTGCTGTTTTAGTCTGTGTTCTTCTAATTAGTGTGTCTACAGTCACAGTGTGTGCCTATTGAGCTGTTTAGAGCCATGTGGGACAAAACCTGATTATGCCCCTTCCTCTCGCTGTGAAGTCAACGGTGACTGTAAAAACTTCACTGCGCATGCTCAGAGTATTTTGTAATGAAATGTGTGTGGCAAAAAAATAATGACCAGAGGGGCATGGAGCTACCATCCCCACCATACGTCATCTCAAATCATTCAGAGCTGATTGGCTGTAGTACGTGTGCCGCGAAAAGTGTGCTGTGTGAAGAGGAGACGAGAGAGCTGCAGTGGCGCGTCCTAAAACCAGGAAGTAAGCACAAAAAAGCAATGAGATTTCTCCAGAGGATTTTAGAAAATAGCTCGAAATAAGATCTGTGGGAAACGTACCTGTTAGATAAATGCACGTTTTGATTAGCCGGATAACATCCACATGTCTACCCTACTTATATAATTTTTTTATCATAAATCTATGGATTAGATTTATGATAGACTTTTGAAACTACAAGAACATAAGGAGGACTTTTACAAAAAAGTAATAGAAATGTTTGTCCAGAAGGATAGGCAAATGGACTTCATCTTCAAGTCAAGGTAAGACCGCAATTTTATTGAAAATGGGATCTTACTAAGAGAGAACAATTCAATATTTAAATGATAAAATGACATTTTTTGGGTATCCTTTTGTTGAACTGTCCGTTTAAAATTAATCGAAGCATCAGACAAAAAAAGCTTTTGAAAATAATATTATATTTTGGTTTAGGTCAAAATATAATATTTGTAAACCTGAAGAGTCAGTGCCAGTGCCTCACCAGCCATGAACCTCACTGCACGTCACTGCAGAAGCTTATATATAGACATCTAAGTTTTTTGTGCCCCACCACTTTTGTACATATAAAAACGCCACTGCTAGTTTAGCATACTCAGCCCGACTCAGCCTCGTTGTCTCTGGCCCTAGACCCGCGATTTTATGAGGCCAGAAAAATTGTGAATTAGGACCCGCCGGCCGGTACTAGGCCAAGTGGAAACGCAACCAAAGACGGGCCGCTGACGTCACAGCCCTCTTAAACCGTGCTCCGCGCTGTAGTGGAAACGCGCCATTAGACTCTGACCTGTGTCCCTTTAGAGGAGGAGACCCCCGTTCAGTGAGTTAAACTCTGACCTGTCCCTTTAGAGGTGGAGACCCCCGTTCAGTGAGTTAGACTCTGACCTGTGTCCCTTTAGAGGAGAAGACCCCCGTTCAGTGAGCTAGACTCTGACCTGTCCCTTTAGAGGAGAAGACCCCCGTTCAGTGAGTTAGACTCTGACCTGTTCCTTTAGAGGAGGAGACACCCCCCTGTGAGGAGGAGGGGGGTCCCGTTGGGGTCCTGTCAGACTCTAACTGCTCTCTCTCTCTCCAGCTAAAGTCCTGCTGGAGCTGGCTGAGGGCTCGGCTGTTGCCACGGCGACCCAGCTGTTTGTGGAGGCGGGTCTGACCCCCCACCTGACAGGATCTGAACCCCTCACCATGCTGGCCCCGCTGGACGCCGCCTTCACAGGTAACCCACCCCCCCCCCCTCAACATGTCTGTCATTCCATCACTGAGGACTGTTAGATGTTCCTTAGCATTAGCATTAAAGGTCTCCTGTTGTACTGTCTTTATGCGTATCACAGGTCTCAGATATATTAAAGACATGTCTCTGAAGTGCCCTGCTCCAAACCCCAAACAGATCCTTGTAGCCCCCCCCCCCCTCTCTTCCAGCTGTTACTAAGGACATGTCTCTGAAGTGTCCTGCTCCAAACCCCAAACAGATCCTTGTAGCCCCCCCCCCCTCTCTTCCAGCTGTTACTAAGGACATGTCTCTGAAGTGTCCTGCTCCAAACCCCAAACAGATCCTTGTAGCCCCCCCCCCCCTCTCTTCCAGCTGTTACTAAGGACATGTCTCTGAAGTGCCCTGCTCCAAACCCCAAACAGATCCTTGTAGCCCCCCCCCTCTCTTCCAGCTGTTACTAAGGACATGTCTCTGAAGTGTCCTGCTCCAAACCCCAAACAGATCCTTGTAGCCCCCCCCCTCTCTTCCAGCTGTTACTAAGGACATGTCTCTGAAGTGTCCTGCTCCAAACCCCAAACAGATCCTTGTAGCCCCCCCCCCCTCTCTTCCAGCTGTTGCTAAGGACATGTCTCTGAAGTGTCCTGCTCCAAACCCCAAACAGATCCTTGTAGCCCCCCCCCCCTCTCTTCCAGCTGTTACTAAGGACATGTCTGAAGTGTCCTGCTCCAAACCCCAAACAGATCCTTGTAGGGGGGGGCCCTCTCTTCCAGCTGTTGCTAAGGACATGTCTCTGAAGTGTCCTGCTCCAAACCCCAAACAGATCCTTGTAGCCCCCCCCCCCTCTCTTCCAGCTGTTACTAAAGAGCTGACTTTGGGTCAGTAGCTTTAGAGAGAGAGTAGATCTCATCAGGAGAACTCTCCCAGCAGAAACTCAGCTAAATGCTGCCGTGATGAAACTCCATATCATGTTCCAAACCACATCAAGGATTCTCTCTGAAACAGTATGGAGCTCAAACTCTTTCTCTCTCTCAGGTTTACCACAAGGTGAGTTCCTTTTGATTTCCTGCTTCTTCACACACACTCTCTCCAGTACAGGTTAGCTCTGAGTGTTAGCATGCTAATGTAAACACAGACCATATTACTTCCAGAACACGTCTCATTGTTTCTGACAGCAACGTTTCTGATTGGCCCGTGGGTGTAAAGCCCGCCCACATTTTAGTAATGTGGTCATGACGCAGCAAATCTGGATCAGCTCTGTTGTTCCCCCGTTTTTAGAGATGTGGGTACGGAGGAAAAGAGAGAGGGGTTTATTTCCTGACACTTTGAGAGTCTCCTGACACACCGGGGACACACCGGGGACACACCGGGGACACATGGTGATGTAGAAAAGACATCAAAAAGTGACTTTTGCAGGATAGGAGACCTTTAAAGAAACTGAGCTTCTGTGTGTCTGAAACAGGAAGTGACACGACGATGACGCCCGACATGAGGACGCTGATGACCAATCACCTGCTGAGGACGCAGCTGTCCTCAAAGTCTCTGTACCACGGGCAGGAGCTGGAGACGCTGGGGGGCGTCAAGCTGAGGGTGTTCGTCTACAGAAATGTAAGAACCAATCAGAGGGCAGCATGCACACACCTGCTGCCCTCTCATTGGATGATTCAAGAGTGGGCTCACCTCACTCTAATCAGAAAATATCCGAAAACATTTGTATGTGAAAAACATCAGCGACACATTTTAGCAGTGGCGAGCCGTCAGGGCCCTCTAGGCCCTCCCTAAGATATTCCAAAAAATAATATTTAAAAACATTTAAAAAATATATATTTTTTTTAAATATATATCTTTTTAATATTATTTTTGTTATATTTTTCATTAGTTTTACCGAAAAAAAACTTGATTTAATTGTATTTAAAATAACATTTCCAAAGAAATAAATCCTTCGAATCTGCCTGTTCAGTCTCTGTTTGAATGTGAAGGGTTACATGAAAGAAGCTCGTCTGGCCCTCTCTGCGATTCACAGAGGGCCCGCTATAGTAACTGAACGAGAGAGTAATGTCAAATGACAGTACAATTGACCAATCATATCTTCCCTCTAAATGGGTGGGTTTTATTATTGCGGACTTTATGACAAGTTCCGCCCGCTGTGAAACTTTTCTTGTTTCCATAGCAACAACAACTTCCTGTCAACAGCGTGAACTCGCCTTCAAAATAAAAGCATGCCAAATTACACTTAAGACATACAACTGCAACGAAAGTAACAAACACAATGCAATATCATTTTCAATGTCAAAGAACACAAATGGGGTTCCCAGGTGTTGTTTTGTGTGGTAGAGGGTCACTGTCATTGATGCGTTTTGCACCCTGGGCCGTTGTTTTGATATTCCGCTGAAGTATACGCTGTGACGTAATAACTCTTTTTTTTTCTTTTTTTCGAGGGAAGGGCTGGGGGTCAGAGGGCCTAGGTATAAAGCTCACGGCTCGCCACTGCATTTTAGAAAAGACCGATTTGAATATTGAATATTGTCATTGGTCCATAGCTTCAGTGTATTTGTATCAATGAAGATCTGAGGTCACAGGCTCCTCCCACAATAACACAGATAATAGTGCAAGTAGTACAAATAAAATAGAATATAATAGAAATAGTGCAAGAAGAGTCTATATACAAGTTCAGTCAGACAACTCACGTGTTCCTTTAACATGTTTATTAGAAGCAGCATATAGTTGAGTTTGGCGTCTAGGCTCGGGCCTCATCACGCCACAGATATACATAGCACCATGAGTGATGATTAAATAACTAACCCCCGAGCCTACAGGTGGAAGCTGGGGTGGTGGGGGGGCAGCAAGCAGCAGCGACGTGGAAGTAGCTGCAGCAACAGCAGCAGCTTGCAATGCATAGAGAGATATCTGGCAGGTTCAATAGAGCGGCACATTAAGGAGACTCTGTTTGGTTGGTTGTAGAGTGGCAAGGGGCATTATGTATGAATGCAGCACAAGTGCTCAAGTTGACTGCCTGAACTAGCTCGCAGGCTTCGCCCCATTAGTTGGAATATTGATATAAGATGCAAACAGATGAATGTTATGGATGTTCTTCACAGAGTTCAGGTGTTTAACGGTCTTATGATCTGAGGTAAGAAACTGTCTCTGAGTCTGGAGGTTTGAGTTTGTTGCTCTAGTTGTGCAGCTGACGTTACTCTAATGGTTTCTGTCTCTGGACTCTTCAGAGACTCTGATGTGTGTCTAACTTGTCCTCTGTGTCTCTAACATGTCTCTAACGTGTCTCTAATGTGTCTCTAACATGTCTCTAACGTGTCTCTAACATGTCTCTAACGTGTCTCTAACATGTCTCTAACGTGTCTCTAACGTGTCTCTAACGTGTCTCTAACGTGTCTCTAATGTGTCTCTAACGTGTCTCTAACGTGTCTCTAACGTGTCTCTAACGTGTCTCTAACGTGTCCTCCGTGTCTCTCCTCCTTCGTGTGCGGCTCACATTCTCTCAGTAACTCTGCAGACCACAAGAAGTTTCCTGCTTCCCACGGCTGCTAAATCTTTCCAGACACTGTGTGTGTGTGTGTGTGTGTGTGTGTGTGTGTGTGTGTGTGTGTGTGTGTGTGTGTGTGTGTGTCCTCAGTTTTTATTGTTTAGCTTCAGGATCAAAGGTTTGAGACTCAGCAGGAAACATTTTCACTTGTCTGAGGAATGTGGAACGTGTGCAGATTAATAAAATACCTTTAAGAGTTTATTATGATTTCTCTTCAGCATCTCATGACCTCGGGACTTTTTAAACTGCCATGCTAACGTGTGTGTGTGTGTGTGTGTGTGTGTGTGTGTGTGTGTGTGTGTGTGTGTGTGTGTGTGTGTGTGTGTGTGTGTGTAGAACCTGTGCATTGAGAACGCCTGCATCGCGGCTCATGATAAGATGGGACGCTACGCCACCATGTTCACCGTGGGCAAAGTCCTCACCCCCCCCATGGGCACCGTCATGGACGTCCTGAAGGCCGACGACCGCTTCAGGTCAGGATCATTCTACCACTAAATATATACATTAAATATGTTGTAAGTATTGATCGTTTTTGCAGAGTTTCAGGTGTTTCAGGTGTTACGGTTGTAGTTTCTCTGTGTTTCAGGTGTTATGGTTGTAGTTTCTCTGTGTTTCAGGTGTTATGGTTGTAGTTTCAGGTGTTACGGTTGTAGTTTCAGGTGTTACGGTTGTAGTTTCTCTGTGTTTCAGGTGTTACGGTTGTAGTTTAATGTGTCACGGTTGTAGTTTCAGGTGTTATGGTTGTAGTTTCAGGTGTTACGGTTGTAGTTTCTCTGTTTTTCAGGTGTTACGGTTGTAGTTTCATGTGTTACGGTTGTAGTTTCAGGTGTTACGGTTGTAGTTTCTCTGTGTTTCAGGTGTTACGGTTGTAGTTTAATGTGTCACGGTTGTAGTTTCAGGTGTTACAGTTGTAGTTTCATGTGTTACGGTTGTAGTTTCAGGTGTTACGGTTGTAGTTTCAGGTGTTACGGTTGTAGTTTCTCTGTGTTTCAGGTGTTACGGTTGTAGTTTAATGTGTCACGGTTGTAGTTTCAGGTGTTACGGTTGTAGTTTCAGGTGTTACGGTTGTAGTTTCAGGTGTTACGGTTGTAGTTTCTCTGTGTTTCAGGTGTTACGGTTGTAGTTTCTCTGTGTTTCAGGCGTTACGGTTGTAGTTTCATGTGTTACGGTTGTAGTTTCAGGTGTTACGGTTGTAGTTTCAGGTGTTACGTTGTAGTTCTCTGTGTTTCAGCGTGCTGGTGGGCGCTGTGCAGACTGCCGGGTTGACGGAGCTGCTGAACCAGCAGGGGGCGCTCACTTTCTTCGCCCCGACCAACGAGGCATTCGGCGCCCTGCCTCCCCCCGACCGCAGCCGGCTGCTTCGTGAGTCTGAAGGCCTTGTTTGGGTCGAAACATCCAGCTCTCATGAGTCAGCGCTCAGTCACGAGCATTACTCAATCAGAGTTACACAAAGTGACAACTTATATAAACATCAAGTCACTTCAGATAAATACAACGTGTCTGCAGACTGTCTTTATATAAACAAGGAGTGTGAGCAGCGTCTGTCGGCCTCACAGAGACACAAATACACTTTATTAACATTACAGTTAACACAGGTCATAGGAAAGTTCTCCACAACACAGCGGGCTCCAATTGAACTATTAAACTGACTTAACGACAATGTTCTGTTACCATGCTCACTGTTTTTGTTTTCATGGTTTAAACGACTCAAATCAGAGATCAGACGTTTCAACGACTCCAGCCAGTGAAGTAGTATTATTGAGGGTCTTATTAATGAAGCTGAAGATAGTTTGGTAGGAATTCAAAGAGCTTTATTAGCATCAGCGTACAGAAACACTAATGAAGAGCTTATGTTTCTATTATTGAGATAAAACATGTTCTCAGTAACAAAGTACATTTACTCAAGTCCTGTACTTAAATACACTTAAGAGGTACTTGTACTTTACTTTTTTTGCTACTTTGTACTTCTACTCCACTACAATTAGTACCAGATACTTTTACTGAAATACAATATCTGAGTACTTCTTCCGTCTAGACATATTGTTAATTGTGTGTGTGTGTGTGTGTGTGTGTGTGTGTGTGTGTGTGTGTGTGTGTGTGTGTGTGTGTGTGTGGGTGTCTCTGTGTATGTGTGTCTGTGTATGTGTGTGGTGTGTGATGTGTGTGTGTGGTGTGTGTGTGTGTGTGTGTGTGTGTGGTGTGTGTGTGTGTGTGTGTGTGTGTGTGTGTTGTGTGTGTGTGTGTGTGTGTGTGTGTGTGTGTGTGTGTGTGTGTGTGTGTGTGTGTGTGTGTGTGCAGGTGACCCTCAGCAGCTGTCCTCGGTGCTTCGTCTCCACCTGGGTGAGGGTCTCCTGGTCAGCGGGGGGGTCAGCTCTCACACCAGAGTGAAGCCTCTGCAGGGGGAGCGGCTGGAGCTGGGCGTGGTGAGGGGCTCTTTATCAATACTCTAGTATCATTATCAATACTCTAGTATCATTATCAATACTCTAGTATCATTATCAATACTCTAGTATCATTATCAATACTCTAGTATCATTATCAATACTCTATTATCAATACTCTATTATCATTATCAATACTCTAGTATCATTATCAATACTCTAGTATCATTATCAATACTCTAGTATCAATATCAATACTCTATTATCATTATCAATACTCTAGTATCATTATCAATACTCTAGTATCATTATCAATACTCTAGTATCATTATCAATACTCTAGTATCACCTTTATAATTACTCTATTAGCATAATTGTGGGGGAATAATTCTCCTAGATATCCACCTTTTGCCCTTTGACGTTTATGACCAACCCTGACGTCTGCTATCTCCCTTAAGGAAGGGGCTGCTTCAGCCATATGTTGTTGTTACCAGTTTGTGAGCGGGCAACTCTCGGTCACAAATGGTTTATTGTTGTGGGTACACTGGAATGCTTCCTTCTTGGGGTTTGTGGACTCCAAGGTGTGAAATCTTCGAGGCCATAAGCGTCAGACGCAAGTCATTCAGTGTCCCCAGCTGTTTAGTCTATCTGGCCAAAGAATGTTGATTACTCTCTCTCAACTAGTTAAAAGGTCTATCGAGAGAGAGGCTCTTCAGAATTGACGTGGCAACTCTACCGTGAAGTCAGAACCTCTGACTGTTTGACTTGTTTTGTGAATTCTCTGGCCGAAGCTCCTAAATAAACCATCAGTGTTTGACATCAAAGCTCCAGCTCTCCCCGTGTCTCCTTCCTGAGTCGGTGACTCCTCCTGCATTGCTACACAGAAGTTTCCCCCACAATTATTAATATGTATGTGTTTCAGAGGAACTACACGGTGTACGTGAACAGAGTGCCCGTGGCGGCGGCTGATCTCATGGCGACTAACGGAGTCGTCCACGCTGTCAACACCATCATCAAACCTATGCGTAAATATTAATATTCATTTATTCATACATTTAGATATTTATTTGAATGTTGAATAGTAGGACGTTCATCTGTTAAAACAGAAATATATTCTTCAGAGCAGGACCAGTTGGTTATTTAAACACAAGATGGTTTAGAAAACAGATCGGTATAATATCTAAGAGCTTTAAAGTTCTGCAATGTTTTTTATTTGTATTTAACCTTTATTTAACCAGATAAAAAAGCATTGAGATCAAATCTAATTTACAATGCTGACCTGGCCAAGAAGGCAGCAACGTTACACATTATTACACAGAACACAAACATATAAAATACAGAGAACATAACTAAGTAAACAAAAGAGGAAAAGCAGTCACTACATTGTGCACATTAGGACAGTAAGAAAGGTACACTACTTATTACTGCAAGAGCAGCTGGTGGTGAGGACTTCAGACAACTTCAATTTAAAGCATGATAAAGAGACAAGTGCCCTCAGTTTGAGGCGTGATTGAAGGTCATTCCAAGACCAAGGACCATATGAAAAAGACTCCTTTTTCCAGCCTCAGTCCGCACAGCAGGAACCTGGAACCGTATCCAGGCACTGGATCTGAGGTTGTAAGAGTCGCAAACTGGGGCAAATCTGACACATATGTAGAGTGGAAGCTTACCTAAAATGGCTTTATACATTAATAAAAACCAATGCTGCATCCTACGCATAGTAAGTGAGGACCATCCAGTTAGGGCTATACAGTTTGCAATGATGAGTCCTATAGGGTGCATTTGATATATAACGCAGTGCAGCATGGTAGAGTGGGTCAAGTTTGGCCCAAACAGTGGGACAGGCAAATCTATAAATGGTATCACCGTAGTCCAGCTGGGACAGGAATAAGCCAGAGACCAACCTTTTATGGGAAGAAGTTGAAAAACAACATTTAAGTCTGTAAAGGAAGCCAAGAGTGAATTTAAATGTCTTAGTTAGAACTTCAATATGGTGTTTAAAGTTCAGATTACTGTCCAACCAAAAGCCCAGATATTTGTAGGTATCAACAAACTCAACAGAGACGCCATCAAGGGTGTCAATGGAGAGGCAAGAGGACGCTGACTTGGGAGCAAAGAGCATTGCTCTGGTTTTCTTACTGTTCAATAGCAGTTTGGAATCAAGAAGTGCATGCTGCAGCGTGATGACATCAATGTAACAGTGCTGCCCTCTGGTGGCTGAAACAAGAAACACCATCCAACCTTTAAACCGTGTGTGTGGTGTGTGTGTGTGTGTGTGTGTGTGTGTGTGTGTGTGTGTGTGTGTGTGTGTGTGTGTGTGTGTGTGTGTGTGTGTGTGTGTGTGTGTGTGTGTGTGTGTTGTGTGTGTGTGTGTGGTGTGTGTGTGTGTGTGTGTGTGTGTGTGTGTGTGTGTGTGTGTGTGTGTGGTGTGTGTAGCTCCTAAGGTGGACAGAGAGCAGAGTGACGGTCCTGCAGATCCCTCCTCCTCCAGGGTGAGAACACGCCTTATTATATATTAATAATGATAAAACTAATGTAAATAATAATGTGTAAACAATGTAAATAATAATAATAATAAAGAGTCCTCTCTGTCTGGCAGGGTGACTCCAGGAGCTTCAGGAACGGTCAGTTTTTATTCCTCAAACATTCCTGTTTCTGTCTTTCAATAACCTCTCCATGTTCTCCGTGTTCTCCGTGTTCTCCGTGTTCTCCGTGTTCTCTGTGTTCTCCGTGTTCTCCATGTTCTCCGTGTTCTCTGTGTTCTCCATGTTCTCCATGTTCTCTGTGTTCTCCATGTTCTCTGTGTTCTCCATCCAATCCAATCCACTTTATTTCTATAGCGAATATTAAAACGCACATATTAAAACGCTTCTGCCCATTCAAAGTGAATGGGCAGAAGCGTTGAAGCTTCAACGCACGCCGCCGTGTGTAGGGGCCGTAATAGATCAAAGGCACATAAAGGCTATGGACAGACAATAAAAGCATAAAAGTCGATAAAGCACGGCTCAGGCTGACTCGAAAGCCAGGGAAAAGAGGTGGGTCTTCAGGTGGGACTTAAAAGTTTGAAGGGTGGGTGACAATTTGACATGGGGGGGCAGGTCGTTCCAGAGCCTGGGGGCTACCGCTGAGAAGGCTCGGTCTCCCCTGGTCTTTCTCTTGGTTTTAGGGACTACTAGCAGCAGCTGATCAGCAGACCTCAAAGCTCGCGAGGGGGTGTCCACCTGTAGGAGGTCGGAGAGATACCAGCGAGTCGTTTCCCATCAAGCATTTCGCTTCCGCAGCTCGTGGAGAGAAACTGCGCCGCCTCGCTCTCAAGTCTGCGGGCGTCTTTATCCCGCGAGATTTCAACGTCTCATGTAGGCGAGCCTCCAGAGCAAGTCGAACAAAATGACTAACCATCATGCAACGCACTAGCAAGACGGCGGTCGCAATTGCGCAGGTCTGCGTCGGTCTCGCTCATCTCAAACAAGCCTGATAACACCTTAAAATTAACTCTAAAATGGACAGGAAGCCGTGTTGTCCGTGTTCTGTGTTCTCCCTGTTCTCCTTGTTCTCTGTGTTCCCCGTGTTCTCCCTGTGTTCTCTGTGTTCTCCCTGTTCTCTGTGTTCTCCCTGTTCTCTGTCTTCTCCATGCCCTCCATGTTCTCTGGTGTTCTCCCTGTTCTCTGGTGTTCTCCATGTTCTCTGGTGTTCTCCATGTTCTCTGATGTTCTCCCTGTTCTCTGGTGTTCTCTGGTGTTCTCCAATGTTTTCTGTGTTCTCCAAGTTGTGGTTTTTTCTTTGTGTTCTCTGATGTTCTCCATGTTCTCTGTGTTCAGACGATTTGTTCCGGAAGGTTCTGAGCAGCCACTCAAGCAGAGCCATGAAGCAGTAACAGGAAGTGACACGCCCCCTGCGGAGGACACACCCCCTGCAGAGGACATGTCCCCTGTTGAGGCCACGCCCCCTGCAGAGGACACACCCCCTGCTGAGGTCACATGATCTCAAACAGCTGTTCTCTCCTCACATTCTTCAGTTTGCTGTTATTACATATTTTCAATCATTTTCACATTTCACTGATATTTTTTTTAAACATTTTTCATATAAATGTTCAGTTTTATTTACATCTTTTATTGGTTTACATTTTGCACATTTCTCAGCAGGAAGTAAAGGTCTGCTGAAAGGCATTCTGGGAGATGTAGTGAAAGAGGCCTCAGAGGAGAAATGTCTTTATTTGTTTTATCGACTCATGTTTGAAGTTCATTTTCAAATCAAACTGAATGTGTTTTTAAATAAAAACTTTAAAATGAGCTCTGAAAACACGTGGTCTGTTCCTGCAGGTGTGTGTGTGTCTCTCTGTGTGCCTCCTTCGCACTCTCCAAGAACTTGGAGTTTCAGGCTCTGCACTTTCCCTCCTCATCTCATACCTCAAAGACCGCACCTACAGGGTAACTTGGAGAGGGTCCGAGTCCGACCCTTGTCAATTAACTACAGGGGTCCCTCAGGGCTCTGTCCTTGGTCCCCTCCTCTTCTCTCTGTACACAAACTCGCTTGGATCGGATAGGTCATATAGGGCGGCTGTGACTCAGTGGATAGAGTGCTGGACTTCGAATCAGGGGATAGCAAGTTCGAGTCCCACTGCAGTCAGCATGTCGTTGTGTCCCTGGGCAAGACACTTCACCCCAAAATTGCTCCTGTGGGGATTGTCCACAGTACTGAATGTAGTCACTTTGGATAAAGGCGTCTAACAAATGACATGTAATGTAATGTCATTAGCCCGTATGGTTTTTCATACCACTGCTACGCTGACGACACCCAATTAATTCTGTCCTTTCCCCGCTCAGAGACCCAGGTCGTCGCACGCATCTCTGCTTGTCTAGCAGACATCTCTCAGTGGATGTCTGCTCACCACCTCAAGCTCAACCTTGACAAGACTGAACTGCTTTTCCTTCCGGGAAAAGATTGTCCCACTCTTGACCTAACAATCAACATCGGCCCCTCTGTTATTTCCCCGACTCAGACTGCAAGGAATCAGGGTGTGACCCTAGATAACAACCTGTCCTTCACTGCAAACATCGCTGCTACAACCCGCTGCTGCAGATACACTCTTTACAACATCAGGAGGATACGTCGCCTCCTGACCCAGAAAGCCACGCAGGTTCTGGTCCAGGCTCTCGTCATCTCACGCCTAGACTACTGCAACTCCCTCCTGGCTGGTCTACCTGCATGTGCCATCCGACCTCTGCAGCTCATCCAGAATGCAGCGGCTCGTCTGGTCTTCAACCTTCCTAAATGTTCCCACACCACACCACTCCTCCGCTCCCTTCACTGGCTTCCAGTAACTGCTAGAATCCACTTCAAGACACTGGTACTTGCGTACCATGCTGTGAATGGATCTGGCCCTTCCTACATCCAGGACATGGTTAAACTGTACACCCCAGCACGTGCACTCCGCTCTGCATCGGCCAAACGGCTCACTGCACCAGCACTGCGAGGGGGACCCAAGTTCCCATCAGCAAAAACACGTGGGTTTGCTATCCTGGCTCCAAAATGGTGGAATGAGCTCCCCATTGACATCAGGACAGCAGAAAGCTTACACATCTTCCGGAGCAGACTGAAAACTCATCTCTTTCGACTCCACTTCGAGCAATACAATGACTAACAAAGCACTTATATACTAACAAAGGACTGGCTTATCTAAAGCCAGTTGAGTAGCACTTGAAATGTTTTGGCTCTATGAAACCTAATGTACTTATATGATTCTGTTTTCTTCAAGTTTGTATCTTCTTGGTCGAATGCACTTATTGTAAGTCGCTTTGGATAAAAGCATCAGCTAAATGTGATGTGTGTCTCTCTGTGTGTGTGTGTGTGTGTGTGTGTGTGTGTGTTTGTCTCAGTGTGTGTGTTTGTCTCAGTGTGTGTGTGTGTGTATGTGTGTATGTCTGTCTCAGTGTGTGTGTGTGTCTCTCTATGTGTGTATTTGTCTCTATGTGTTTGTCTCAATGTGTGTGTGTGTGTGTGTGTGTTTGTCTCAGTGTGTGTGTGTCTGTGTGTGTGTGTTTGTCTCTGTGTGTGTGTGTCTCAGTGTGTGTGTGTATTTGTCTCTGTGTGTTTGTCTCAATGTGTGTGTGTGTTTGTCTCAGTGTGTGTGTGTCTGTGCGTGTGTGTGTGTTTGTCTCAGTGTGTGTGTGTCTCTGTGTGTGTGTTTGTCTCTGTGTGTGTGTGTGTCTCAGTGTGTGTGTTTGTCTCAGTGTGTGTGTGTGTGTGTGTGTGTTTGTCTCTGTGTGTGTGTTTGTCTCGGTGTGTATGTGTGTGTGTGTCTCTCTGTGTGTGTGTGTGTCTCTGTGTGTGTGTTTGTCTCAGTGTGTGTTTGTCTCAGGGTGTGTGTGTGTTTGTCTCAGTGTGTGTGTGTGTTTGTCTACGTGTGTTTGTCTCAGTGTGTGTGTGTGTCTCTGTGTGTGTTTGTCTCAGTGTGTGTGTTTGTCTCTGTGTGTGTGTTTGTCTCAGTGTGTGTGTGTGTGTTTGTCGCAGTGTGTGTGTGTGTGTTTGTCTCAGTGTGTGTGTGTCTCTGTGTGTGTTTGTCTCAGTGTGTGTGTGTGTGTGTGTGTGTTTGTCGCAGTGTGTGTGTGTGTGTTTGTCTCAGTGTGTGTGTGTGTTTGTCTCAGTGTGTGTGTGTCTCTGTGTGTGTGTTTGTCTCAGTGTGTGTGTGTGTTTGTCTCAGTGTGTGTGTGTGTGTTTGTCTCAGTGTGTGTGTGTTTGTCTCAGTGTGTGTGTGTTTGTCTCAGTGTGTGTGTTTGTCGCAGTGTGTGTGTGTATGTGTGTTTGTCTCAGTGTGTGTGTGTTTGTCTCAGTGTGTGTGTTTGTCGCAGTGTGTGTGTGTTTGTCTCAGTGTGTGTGTTTGTCGCAGTGTGTGTGTGTGTTTGTCTCAGTGTGTGTGTGTTTGTCTCAGTGTGTGTGTGTGTGTGTTTGTCTCAGTGTGTGTGTGTTTGTCTCAGTGTGTGTGTTTGTCGCAGTGTGTGTGTGTGTGTTTGTCTCAGTGTGTTTGTCTCAGTGTGTGTGTGTGTGTTTGTCTCAGTGTGTGTGTGTTTGTCTCAGTGTGTGTGTTTGTCGCAGTGTGTGTTTGTCGCAGTGTGTGTTTGTCTCAGTGTGTGTGTGTTTGTCTCAGACCCCATTTACACGAGGACGATACGGGTTGTATCCGCATAGTTTCTCTTGCGTATAGCCCTTCCGTTTACACGAGGCCGTAACAAAACGATAGAAACGGACCCCGCAAACGATAACGGGTCCCAAGGTGGATAGATCTGCAAACGGAATGCTCTGGGGGTAAGCCTCTATACCAGGGGTGGGGAAGCTCCGGGCCGTATACGGCCCGCGAGACTATTTGATACGGCCCTCGAGTTAATTTATAAACACACGCAAAAAAGAAAAAAATTACAGAAATGTATGCCGCAAAAGAATTAAAAAAGTGAGTGCCTGTTTTTCCTGGCCAAGGTCAGGGTCATTGAACACAACACGAGCCTAACGTGTCATCACGTGGTATATGTCCCGTCTGACAGGGGTGCAGTTCTGACGGAGAGCACCAGAACGTCGCTCCGCCACTTCACAAATGTCAGTACCCATAAGGAGCCGTACACATGCCGCAGTTTTTGCGTGGCTGTGTCTTTAGTTGAAAGCCCAGTGGCGATCTGTTCATCTGTCATACTGATCATACAGTCAATAACTTTGTTGTTATTAGCATCTGGTTAGCTAGCTATGCTAACGAATATAAGAAGCTTTTTCTACAACCAGTGAGGTAAAGGCACATCTTTATATGATCATTATAGTTATAACCAGGGGTTAAATTGGGATTTGACATGTGGGGGGGCTGTGTTTTTTTTTGGGGGGGGGGGGGGGGGGTTGCGGGATAGCGGGCTATATATGAGGCCCAATCCTAAAGCAACTGCTCCTGTATCAGATGCACTATTTGATGCCACCAATCGAGACAGTAAACATAGAAAGTATGTTAATTAGACCGTCTTTTTATTAGTATTATTTAACTGGAATGAATTTACATTTCAAACTATTAATATATACACAAACATTTTTCACAAATTACAGACCTTCAAATTGCCATTTTAAGTCAACATTTCTCTGCACACTTACTCAAGAACATTAAAAAAAAACGATATGAGTACAGAGACATTACCCTATCTGAACTGATTGAGGAATGAAAGTCCACATCAATATAAGCAGTTCAACAACATTACTGTATGTACGACCAGCTACTTCATCAAATCCCAGATGGGCTGATAGGGGGAAGCCTGTGTAGTCGTGCATCTTTGTCTACAGGCTAAATGGTCTGCAGACCTTCTGGTAGCCACCCACTTCCTCACATATTTCGTGGGGTCCCAAGAGGTAAGAGGAGGTCCAACCATTTGAATGAACATTAGAGCAGAGACATTTTGAGTTTTCAGTTGTGAGCGCATTGATGTTACAACTGCATTCATTTCTGAGAAACCCCTCTCACACTCTGCACTGCTCACAGCAATGGTTTCCACTGCATTCTTAAGCTTTAGAAGGGACATGTGCATCGGCACACTGGCATTCTCCTTAAAGTCCCTATAACTTTGCTTAACACCATAGAATCCGATTTTCAAAAGAGTGCATAGCTCTCTTATTTCACACTCACCATACATTAATGGTAGAGGGCTTGGCCATGTCTTTGTATCAAGAACATTGACCTTTTGAAAGAGGGATTCCTCTTCACTTGTGACCATCCTTGTTTCCATGCTTTTGCATAGTGCTGCATAAAACTTTGTGGGATCTATTATCTTCTGCCTTGGGTCATTGCGTAGTGTTATGCCATTAAAAACACCTTGCTGCTCTGCCTCACATGCGGTTTTGTAGAACAGACCACTGTCTGGGTTCCTGCTCATGGTTTTAAAAACCTCTAGCTGTCTTTTGATCAGATTTACTGATTGAGACAGTCTAATGTGTCTCGACTGTAGAGCCTCAGACAGGTCTTTCAGCTCCTCAAGTGCATCCATCATCAGTCCCAGGTTTTTAACAAAAGCAACTGACGTCAGCTTTGCTGCTAGCCCCTCATACATGCATCTATCATTTGAGGAACGGTTCACATCTACACTTGCAGATGTGAGGTGATGATAGAGTGCAGCATACATGGTCCAAACAGCATTTACTGTCCTAAAAGATGAAGCCACCCACCTTATCCCGAGGACGCGACCAATCTTCCTCAAGCATACACCTACTTCAGAGACTGCAGCATCAAGCTCTCTTAAGTTCTTTGGTGACTGATGATAGAGACAGTATAGCTTGTCAAGAAAAGCTGTGAAGTGGTTGGTTTCGGTGCAGTGCTTGACTGCATCTGACACAGACAACTCCAACCTATGGTTTAGACAATGCCAGCCTATGAGGCCTGGGTACTTACTTCTCAGTTTTGTGTAGACACCATTCTTTCTGCCTACCATTACGGAGGCTCCATCTGAGCAGAATCCCACCAGACATTCTTTCAGAAAAGCATCATCAAGACCATATTTCTGTAGACAGTTCAGTAGTTGACTAATGATTCCATCTGCAGTTGTACTCTCTAGCTCGAGAAGATCTAGGAAGAAGGTCACTGGCTCTGAGCTATCAACTGACGTTCTTAGGTACACAATAAGACAAGACTTCTTGCTTAATGATGTGCTTTCATCCACAAGAACAGTTAGCTTTGGTCGGGTCACTTTGATACTTGCCAATAGGGCTTCCCTCATTTCTTTTGAGATAAAATGTACAATGTCTGTACATGTAACATTTGAGTGGAGTACGCGGCCAACATTTACACCATTTATCATTTGTAGTTCTATTAGTCCAGGATGATCAGAGTATGGCCGGTTATTTTTTGCAATGTAGTATGCCGTTCTAAAGACATTATGGGTGGAAGCCAAAATGTATTTTTGAGTTTTTAGAAAGCTTGATTTTAAAGCTTCTTCATTTTGTCTTTTTACTATGTCCTGTGCTAATTTGTGACTCTGTGAGACACTATGTTCATTTATTTTCTTTCTCAAAGATTTCATTTGCTTCTCATTGCTGTTGCCATATGGGCCTACCCTACAGTTCTGCCATTCAGTAGAGAATGAGTACCTCTGTTTCCCTGTTCTCATTGCCCCAAGGGATCCCGCTTCCCTGCATGATTTGCATCCTATTTTTTTTATTTCCAATTATTAGAAATGGATATCTCTGTGTGAAATATTCAAATTGACTTTGATTCCAGCAGTCAGGCAAGTTGTCAGCCTTTCCTACACTGCTTCCCTGCTCTGCTCCTCTGTCCTCCTCAAACTGCCCTGCTCTGCTCTCTTCAGGCTGCCCTGCCCCTCTGTCCTCCTCAGGCTGCTCTGCTCTGCTCTCCTCAGGCTGCCCTGCTCCTCTGTCCTCCTCAAACTGCCCTGCTCCTCTGTCCTCCTCAGGCTGCTCTGCTCTCCTCTCCTCAGCCTGCTCTACTCCTCTCCTCTCCTCTCGTTCCTCCACTCCCTTCCCTTCTTTACGCTGCTCTGATCCTCTCTCTTTTCCAAGCTTCCCTGCTCGCCCATCACCTGCCTTGTTCTGCTCAACTCTGCATTTAAATGTAGGATAATTAACAAAGGAACTTATGGTGAATAAATAAAAGATACAAATGGCTTTGACACGCTAAGCAGCAGTGATGTCTTGCATACCTTTTAAAGAAGTCTGTAAGTTTCCTCTTTTTTGCTTCACTCATTTCTCATTTCTGCATCATGCCTCACTTTAACCTCTGAAACTTTCAAAGAGAAAGGAAATAAATATATGCATATCTCAGCTTTATGCACACACATACATAGCATCAGGCTGGGGCCAGTTATTTCATGAGAGGGGCACAATAAAAGCAGGTTAAATTGACAAAGACAGTATAAAGTAATTTTGTAAAATAAACATATAATACAGTAATTGGTATTTGTTTTGGTCAATTTAAGTTACAGTCCTGTGTTTCAGTAGTTTTTTTCATTTTTAGTATTTGTTTTAGTAACTTTAAGTGACAATTTAATTAAAAAACATAAACAGTATTTGCTTTTATAAGGTAATGAACAGTTTAATCTCCACTGTACATCCGGGTCTCTGATTTGATTTAGTTCCAATAAATCGTAATATTGTAATTTATTTTTGGAGGGGTCAGTGTTACGGGGGCACTGGCCCCTGTTTGCCCCCCCCCTAGAACCGCCCCTGCATAGCATGGTTTAGGAAACGGGCGCTCTGCACGGAGGAACCGCAGCAGAGTCCCGCGGGAGGTGCTGCAGTGTAGCTCACGATCGGAGCAGAGACACACGTTCACTGACACTAAGCCGACAAACTATAGCTGGTCGCAGAGATCTGCTATTCTAAAATAAAGTCCACAATATCGACCACTGGCTGGTGTCTTTCTCTTAGTTTAAGAAACGCTTGATTTGATCAAAAGTTAGTCAAACAAAAAAACGTTATTTAACTTAATGGTAGTCGAACGTAAAAGTAGAATATCAGAGCAATTCATGTTAAGAAACCTGTCAGCGTATTACCTATTTTTCTCCACACCTTTCCCGGATTCATAACATAAACATATAGAAAGAAAAGTTTTAACATGTATATCTTTTTTGTGTAAACATATGATATAGGCATGCTGCATACATTGTTAAAAATATGCGAGGGTGATGACGTCAGAGCTTTTCCTATGTGCCGGGGCTTAGCCGGAAAGCCCCGGCCCAATTTAACCCCTGGTTATAACAAAATAAGAGAATAAAGTAAACAGGTATAAAATACTATATGACAGTACAAAAAAGTTGTTATTAATAAACAAGAATACAGTTTGAAAGGGGAGTGATTTGTAAAATATCCATAAAGAAAAAGAAATCTGCTTACAGTTCTGTTTCATAGGGTGTTGAGAGATGTATCCATAGATCTCCTGATGTTGCTCTCAGAGTGCACCAGATTGATGCTTTTAACTTCAACAAGGAGCATGCCCCCCGGACCCCCCTAGAGGAGGTGAGGTCCACCCCTAGAGGAGGTGAGGACCCCCCTAGAGGAGGTGAGGACCCCCCTAGAGGAGGTTAGGTCCCCCCCTAGAGGAGGTTAGGTCCCCCCTCCACTTAAATCATGTCCACATGGATAGGAAACTAAATACATTTGCACACATCTTGTGTCCATATCTTTCTGTTTTGGTGGTCATGCCACACCGTGCACGTGCATGCGCGAGTCATGGTGAGATATCTGGATTCAGAGGTTGCTTTTTCTTTGCACACATGAAAGAAAGGCGAAAAGAATGGGCTGTGATTTTAGTATTTTTAAGCAGAGGTCAATCATTTGTACGGCCCTCGGAGGATGTTGAAAAAATTGAAATGGCCCTTGACAGGAGACTAAACCCCTGCACTATACGATCATTTTCTGATAACGATGAAATAGCTCCGCCTCCCTCTCCCCCACCCCACGTTCCTGTGTAAATGGGGTCTCAGTGTGAGTGTGTGTGTGTGTGTGTGTGTGTGTTTGTCTCTGTGTGTGTTTGTCAGCGAATGCCTGAAATCTAACAATGGAAACAAATATTTAAAAAATGAACAAAGTAAAAATATTAAATGAAAGAAAATATAAACAATATATAATAAGTAGAAACGAAGGAGACGGACGAGTTTCTGACGGGTTTTATTTCCCTCTCTTTAAGGCACAATAAAGGGTTATCATTTATAAACAACATCAATATTTTTGGTCTGAAGATAAACAAACCTGTCCACCCACACACACACACACACACACACACACACACACACACACACACACACACACACACACACACACACACACACACACACACACACACACACACACACACACACACACACACACACACACACAACACACACAACACACACACACACACACACACACCACACACACACACACACACACACACACTACACACACACACACACACACACACACACACACACACACACACACACACACACAACACACACAACCACACACACACACACACACATCTTATGTGCTCCAGAATGAGATGCAGCCTTCAGGGACCGTGGGATATTGCTGTTATTGTATAAATAAAGAAATGACTGTAATCTGTTGTGCATTTTTACTGCTTTCATTTCAGAACATATTTTAACTTTTATAACCCCCCCCCCCCCCAGGTTCTGGTCTGCAGCTCAGACTCAGGTTCGGTTCAATTTGGCTCAAATATTCACAGAATCACCTGATTTATAAACACACCTTAATTATTCACCTGATTATCACACTCACACACTCACACACTCATACACTCACACACTCACACACTCACACAGTCTCTAAGGGTTAAAGCTCTGCTCTTTTTGTCTCTGATGTGTTTAATGTCCACAGAGACTTTAATATAAACAGGAAGTGATGTCACACATATTTAGGAACCGGAATCAGACCCAGCATCCGGATCTAAACCCGCCCTTTTAATTACCCATAACCCACCAGTAAAGCCCACACCCCCCTCCTGATTGTCTCCGATAGATTGAAAAAATTAAAGTCTGGTTCAGGACGCAGTGTCCAATCAGAGCCCGGCTCTCAGGGCCGCCCCACGTCCAATCAGAGCCCGGCTCTCAGGGCTTCCCCACGTCCAATCAGAGCCCGGCTCTCAGGGCTTCCCCACGTCCACGCTGATCCAGGTGTAGAGGTCCCGCTTCTCCGTCTTCAGCAGCGAATAGGAGAGGGACGAGATCCCGTCTGAGGACATGGTGTCTCTGGTGTGGGCGATCCGGTTGAACCTGGAACACATTATATAAAGAAGGTCTTAAAGATAACTCAACACGTTACAACTGAAGGCCCACGAGTCCTGATGATGCTACCCTGAACCACAGGAAGGACCCCCGAAGGACCCTTGAACCCCAGAAGGACCCCTGAATCCCAGGAAGACCCCTGAACCACAGGAAGACCCCTGAACCACAGGAAGGACCCCTGAATCACAGGAAGACCCCTGAACCACAGGAGGACCCCTGAACCACAGGAAGGACCCCTGAACCACAGGAAGACCCCTGAACCACAGGAAGACCCCTGAACCACAGGAAGGACCCCTGAACCCCAGAAGGACCCCTGAACCCCAGAAGGACACCTGAACCCCAGGAAGACCCCTGAAACACAGGAAGGACCCCTGAATCACAGGAAGACCCCTGAACCACAGGAAGGACCCCCCCCCCCCCTTACCTCTGAGGGTTGGGCTCATTCTTCTTGTCTCTCTGGTGCCGGATCATTCGACACTTCCCAACGTCTCCACTGGGTCTGGAGATGGACATCCCTCTGGAGGACAGCCTGCAGACAGGAGCACATTACAGACCTGAGACCAGGGTCCAGCAGACCTGAGACCAGCACCACTGAGACCAGGGTCCAGCAGACCTGAGACCAGAGATCATCAGACCTGAGACCAGAGTCTAGTTGCAGACCAGAGTCTAGTTGCACTGAGACCAGAGTCTAGTTGCAGACCAGAGTCTAGTTGCACTGAGACCAGAGTCTAGTTGCACTGAGACCAGAGTCTAGTTGCAGACCAGAGTCTAGTTGCAGACCAGAGTCTAGTTGCACTGAGACCAGAGTTGCAGACCAGAGTCTAGTTGCAGACCAGAGTCTAGTTGCACTGACACCAGAGTCTAGTTGCAGACCAGAGTCTAGTTGCAGTGAGACCAGAGTCTAGTTGCACTGAGACCAGAGTCTAGTTGCAGACCAGAGTCTAGTTGCAGACCAGAGTATAGTTGCAGACCAGAGTCTAGTTGCACTGAGACCAGAGTCTAGTTGCACTGAGACCAGAGTCTAGTTGCAGACCAGTGTCTAGTTGCACTGAGACCAGAGTCTAGTTGCACTGAGACCAGAGTCTAGTTGCAGACCAGTGTCTAGTTGCACTGAGACCAGAGTCTAGTTGCACTGAGACCAGAGTCTAGTTGCAGACCAGAGTCTAGTTGCACCGAGACCAAAGTCTAGTTGCAGACCAGAGTCTAGTTGCAGACCAGAGTATAGTTGCAGACCAGAGTCTAGTTGCACTGAGACCAGAGTCTAGTCACACTGAGACCAGAGTCTAGTTGCACTGAGACCAGAGTCTAGTTGCAGACCAGAGTCTAGTTGCACTGAGACCAGAGTCTAGTTGCAGACCAGAGTCTAGTTGCACCGAGACCAAAGTCTAGTTGCAGACCAGAGTCTAGTTGCAGACCAGAGTATAGTTGCAGACCAGAGTCTAGTTGCACTGAGACCAGAGTCTAGTCACACTGAGACCAGAGTCTAGTTGCACTGAGACCAGAGTCTAGTTGCAGACCAGTGTCTAGTTGCACTGAGACCAGAGTCTAGTCACACTGAGACCAGAGTATAGTTGCACTGAGACCAGAGTCTAGTTGCAGACCAGAGTCTAGTTGCACTGAGACCAGAGTCTAGTTGCACTGAGACCAGAGTCTAGTTGCAGACCAGAGTCTAGTTGCAGACCAGAGCCTAGTTGCAGACCAGAGTCTAGTCACACTGAGACCAGAGTATAGTTGCACTGAGACCAGAGTCTAGTTGCAGACCAGAGTCTAGTTGCACTGAGACCAGAGTCTAGTTGCACTGAGACCAGAGTCTAGTTGCAGACCAGAGTCTAGTTGCAGACCAGAGTCTAGTCACACTGAGACCAGAGTATAGTTGCACTGAGACCAGAGTCTAGTTGCAGACCAGAGTCTAGTCACACTGAGACCAGAGTATAGTTGCACTGAGACCAGAGTCTAGTTGCAGACCAGAGTCTAGTTGCAGACCAGAGTCTAGTTGCAGACCAGAGTCTAGTCACACTGAGACCAGAGTATAGTTGCACTGAGACCAGAGTATAGTTGCAGACCAGAGTCTAGTTGCACTGAGACCAGAGTCTAGTTGCACTGAGACCAGAGTCTAGTTGCAGACCAGTGTCTAGTTGCACTGAGACCAGAGTCTAGTTGCACTGAGACCAGAGTCTAGTTGCAGACCAGAGTCTAGTTGTAGACCAGAGCCTAGTTGCATTGAGACCAGAGTCTAGTTGCAGACCAGTGTCTAGTTGCACTGAGACCAGAGTCTAGTTGCAGACCAGAGTATAGTTGCAGACCAGAGTCTAGTTGCACTGAGACCAGAGTCTAGTTGCACTGAGACCAGAGTCTAGTTGCAGACCAGAGTATAGTTGCAGACCAGAGTCTAGTTGCACTGAGACCAGAGTCTAGTTGCACTGAGACCAGAGTCTAGTTGCAGACCAGAGTCTAGTTGCAGACCAGAGCCTAGTTGCACTGAGACCAGAGTCTAGTTGCAGACCAGTGTCTAGTTGCACTGAGACCAGAGTCTAGTTGCACTGAGACCAGAGTCTAGTTGCAGACCAGGGTCTAGTGGGGGGGTTATTGAGGATGCAACTAGACTCTGGTCTATTTCTGACATTTTAGGATCATAAATATCAGTTTTGAGTCCTAACACGTTAAAATCACCCAAAATCCTTCACACTCACTGGGCGTACACAAGACCACTTTCCGGTTAAACTGACATTTATGACCCTGAAAATGTAAGAACTGGAACAATAAAAAGTTATTGTTCCAATTACCCAAAACACGCAGGTTAGCATCCAGAAGTCTCTATGTGCTGGAGACCCTACTCTACATTGATATCATTAAACTCTGGGGTCTCAACATACAGGTGAGCTGCAGACAGACTCGTGTGTGTGTGTGTGTGTGTGTGTGTGTGTGTGTGTGTGTGTGTGTGTGTGTGTGTGCGTGTGTGTGTGTGTGTTGACCTGTTAAAGATGTCGTCGTCCTCCCCCCCCCAGCCCCAGTAGTTGTTGGGGAAGCCGTTGATCTTCAGGAACTGCTCTTTGCTCATCGAGGACACGCCTCCAAAGTACTGGTTGTAGGGTAACCTGCGGACACACAGGTAATGCCTGTTAATAGCTTGCCACAGGCATAGCTCAGTTCAAATAAAGCACAGCTATTGTGCAATACATTTGTATTGCATGTATATTTTTTATTTGTAAAAATGTCAGTTAAAGCTTAAAAGAATAAAGATATTTTTGTTATCTAAACGTTTGACCTCTTTCTTTTACAATTTTGGAATCGAAACGGGGAATCGATCAGAACCGGAATCGATAAGCAGAACCGGAATCGGAATCAATACATTTCAAACGATACCCATCCCTACCCCTGAGGTAGGTAAACAGGTCTCCCGTTAACTCACGGCAGAGTTTAGTCTCCCGTTAACTCACGGCAGAGTTCAGTCTCCTGTTAACTCACGCCAGAGTTCAGTCTCCCGTTAACTCACGGCAGAGTTTAGTCTCCCGTTAACTCACGCCAGAGTTCAGTCTCCCGTTAACTCACGGCAGAGTTTAGTCTCCCGTTAACTCACGCCAGAGTTTAGTCTCCCGTTAACTCACGCCAGAGTTCAGTCTCCCGTTAACTCACGCCAGAGTTCAGTCTCCCGTTAACTCACGCCAGAGTTCAGTCTCCCGTTAACTCACGCCAGAGTTCAGTCTCCCGTTAACTCACGGCAGAGTTCAGTCTCCCGTTAACTCACGCCAGAGTTTAGTCTCCCGTTAACTCACGGCAGAGTTCAGTCTCCTGTTAACTCACGCCAGAGTTTAGTCTCCTGTTAACTCACGCCAGAGTTTAGTCTCCTGTTAACTCACGCCAGAGTTCAGTCTCCCGTTAACTCACGGCAGAGTTCAGTCTCCTGTTAACTCACGCCAGAGTTTAGTCTCCCGTTAACTCACGGCAGAGTTCAGTCTCCCGTTAACTCACGCCAGAGTTTAGTCTCCCGTTAACTCACGGCAGAGTTCAGTCTCCTGTTAACTCACGCCAGAGTTTAGTCTCCCGTTAACTCACGGCAGAGTTTAGTCTCCCGTTAACTCACGCCAGAGTTTAGTCTCCCGTTAACTCACGCCAGAGTTTAGTCTCCCGTTAACTCACGGCAGAGTTCAGTCTCCTGTTAACTCACGCCAGAGTTCAGTCTCCTGTTAACTCACGCCAGAGTTTAGTCTCCCGTTAACTCACGGCAGAGTTCAGTCTCCCGTTAACTCACGCCAGAGTTCAGTCTCCCGTTAACTCACGCCAGAGTTTAGTCTCCCGTTAACTCACGCCAGAGTTTAGTCTCCCGTTAACTCACGGCAGAGTTCAGTCTCCCGTTAACTCACGGCAGAGTTCAGTCTCCTGTTAACTCACGCCAGAGTTTAGTCTCCTGTTAACTCACGCCAGAGTTCAGTCTCCCGTTAACTCACGCCAGAGTTCAGTCTCCCGTTAACTCACGGCAGAGTTCAGTCTCCCGTTAACTCACGCCAGAGTTTAGTCTCCCGTTAACTCACGGCAGAGTTCAGTCTCCTGTTAACTCACGCCAGAGTTTAGTCTCCTGTTAACTCACGCCAGAGTTTAGTCTCCTGTTAACTCACGCCAGAGTTCAGTCTCCCGTTAACTCACGGCAGAGTTCAGTCTCCTGTTAACTCACGCCAGAGTTTAGTCTCCCGTTAACTCACGGCAGAGTTCAGTCTCCCGTTAACTCACGCCAGAGTTTAGTCTCCCGTTAACTCACGGCAGAGTTCAGTCTCCTGTTAACTCACGCCAGAGTTTAGTCTCCTGTTAACTCACGCCAGAGTTCAGTCTCCTGTTAACTCACGCCAGAGTTTAGTCTCCTGTTAACGTATTTTTCTTGTGATAGTCGGACATGAGTCATGACAACCTGTGCAGCCCATGTATTGATTCCACCTGATAGCTGCTATAATACAAAACAAAACGTCTGCCTGCTCTCCACAATGATAGCGAACGGATGGTCAAAGTAAGGTACAAATAAACAGAATCACACGAAGCCTGGTTAGTGTTGCCTGACAATATATCAGTGTGTTCCAGTCCCTTTGCTCAGCAAGAGGATTCTAAACTGTATGTGTGTGTGTGTGTGTGTGTGTGTGTGTGTGTGTGTGTGTGTACAGGAAACAGGACGTGAGGAGCAGGCAGATGCTGGTGTTTCACTGTCAGCACATTCTCTCTGAAAGGAAGTGAACTTTTTCTTCTTCTCTGTAGCAACAACTAGGACCTCAGCTCGTTGCAAGAACACGCACGCACGCACGCACGCACAGTGTATTGTACATGGAGAACAAAACTCAGTTAAAAGGTATAGTTAATTTAAAAGTTAATAAAAAGATGTTTCCTGTGTGTCTCAGTGTGTCTCAGTGTGTCTCAGTGTGTCTCAGGTGTTTCCAGTGTGTCTCAGGTGTTTCCAGTGTGTCTCAGTGTGTCTCAGTGTGTCTCAGTGTGTCTCAGGTGTTTCCAGTGTGTCTCAGTGTGTCTCAGTGTGTCTCAGGTGTTTCCAGTGTGTCTCAGATGTGTCTCAGTGTGTCTCAGGTGTTTCCAGTGTGTCTCAGATGTGTCTCAGTGTGTCTCAGGTGTTTCCTGTGTGTCTCAGGTGTTTCCAGTGTGTCTCAGTGTGTCTCAGTGTGTCTCAGATGTTTCCTGTGTGTCTCAGTGTGTCTCAGTGTGTCTCAGGTGTTTCCAGTGTGTCTCAGATGTGTCTCAGTGTGTCTCAGGTGTTTCCTGTGTGTCTCAGGTGTTTCCAGTGTGTCTCAGTGTGTCTCAGTGTGTCTCAGATGTTTCCTGTGTGTCTCAGTGTGTCTCAGTGTGTCTCAGGTGTTTCCTGTGTGTCTCAGGTGTTTCCAGTGTGTCTCAGTGTGTCTCAGGTGTCTCAGATGTGTCTCAGGTGTTTCCTGTGTGTCTCAGGTGTTTCCTGTGTGTCTCAGGTGTTTCCAGTGTGTCTCAGTGTGTCTCAGGTGTTTCCTGTGTGTCTCAGGTGTTTCCTGTGTGTCTCAGATGTGTCTCAGGTGTTTCCTGTGTGTCTCAGGTGTTTCCTGTGTGTCTCAGATGTGTCTCAGGTGTTTCCTGTGTGTCTCAGATGTGTCTCAGTGTGTCTCAGGTGTTTCCTGTGTGTCTCAGCTGTGTCTCAGTGTGTCTCAGGTGTTTCCTGTGTGTCTCAGGTGTTTCCAGTGTGTCTCAGGTGTTTCCTGTGTGTCTCAGCTGTGTCTCAGTGTGTCTCAGGTGTTTCCTGTGTGTCTCAGGTGTTTCCTGTGTGTCTCAGATGTGTCTCAGGTGTTTCCTAGGTGTTTCCTGTGTGTCTCAGATGTGTCTCAGGTGTTTCCTGTGTGTCTCAGATGTGTCTCAGGTGTTTCCTGTGTGTCTCAGATGTGTCTCAGGTGTTTCCTAGGTGTTTCCTGTGTGTCTGAGATGTGTCTCAGATGTGTCTCAGTGTGTCTCAGGTGTTTCCTGTGTGTCTCAGATGTGTCTCAGATGTGTCTCAGTGTGTCTCAGGTGTTTCCTGTCTGTCTCAGATGTGTCTCAGGTGTTTCCTGTGTGTCTCAGATGTGTCTCAAATGTGTCTCAGTGTGTCTCAGGTGTTTCCTGTGTGTCTCAGATGTGTCTCAGGTGTTTCCAGTGTGTCTCAGATGTGTCTCAGTGTGTCTCAGGTGTTTCCTGTGTGTCTCAGATGTGTCTCAGTGTGTCTCAGGTGTTTCCTGTGTGTCTCAGCTGTGTCTCAGTGTGTCTCAGGTGTTTCCTGTGTGTCTCAGTGTATCTCAGGTGTTTCCAGTTTGTCTCAGGTGTTTCCTGTGTGTCTCAGTTTGTCTCAGGTGTTTCCTGTGTGTCTCAGATGTGTCTCAGTGTGTATCAGTGTGTCTCAGCTGTGTCTCAGTGTGTCTCAGGTATTTCCTGTGTGTCTCAGCTGTGTCTCAGTGTGTCTCAGTGTGTCTCAGGCGTGTGTTCTCACCTGAATCCAAACTTGTCCATGGAGACGGACAGGTGTCTGGGCTGGCTGAAGCACCTGTAGGTGTTTCTGTCGTCCATGGGGATCAGGTCCACGTCGCTGAACACGAAGCAGTCGTAGTCGTAGTCCTTCAGAGCCTCGGCGTAGCCCACGTTCAGAAGCTTCGCTCGATTAAAGGTGGCGTCTCCGTCCTGACGGGAGAAGACACGCTGTTTCAGGTGTGTTTCAGGTGCATCATGTGACCTCCCTCCATCAGCCCTGCATCATGTGACCTCCCTCCATCAGCCCTGCATCATGTGACCTCCCTCCATCAGCCCTGCATCATGTGACCTCCCTCAGCTGTGTTCCCACTGATTCCTTTAAGAAGAGCCTAAAAACCTTTCTTTAAAAAAAAGCCTTTGATTAAACTTGTGTTTCTTTTATATCTTAAGCCCCTTGTAGCACTGAAAGGTGCTTTACAAATAACATGTATTATTATTATTATTATTATTATTATTATTATTAAAGGCTTCAGCAACCTGTCTGACAGGTGAAGCCCCTCAGGTCACCTGATCCTCTCGATGGTGCTTAGCAACCAGCTCTCAGGTGTGCAGGTGTGTTTACCTGCTGCAGGCGACAGGCCACGCCCCCTTATCCTGCTCTTCTTCTCTGGTTTCTGCATCAGTTACTGACCCTCCCCATAGATCTACATGTTGGTCACGCTCGCTGCCCAGGAGCCAACAGCAAGAGCTGGATTACATTTCAATATAATGTCTAACCCTTAAAAATAAACATTTCTATTGAAACTATTAGCTTATAAATATTATTTACAACCTTTTACTATGGTTTATGTTTGCACAAACAATGCGTTTGAAGTAATTCAATATATATGTTTTGAATGGAATTAGTTTTCAACATTTTTATCATCAATAAATATTCTAGTGGCCCAGAGCTTAGTGTCTTAAGTGTTCTCAAAGCTGGTAAAGGTGCAGCTAGTTTGAATGACTTTGTATACTGCAGGGTAGCTTGTGAATTTACTCCAGGTGGAACTAAAGTCTGATTTAACACTTGGTTATATTTCACATCATTCATCCACATCTGTGAAGTAACTAAAGGTATTAAATACATGTAGTAGAGTAAAAGTACAAGGTAGGAAATAATGGAAATAGTCAAGTAAAGTACAAGTACCTCTAACTTGTACTTAAGTACAGTACTTGAAAACAGGAAACAGTGTGTGACGGACACAGAGAGGTTACACACACACACAGTTGTGTAGAGACTTCAGCACTAATGAAGCTGAAGGGTTTTCTGCAGCTGAAACACAGGAGGAAGCAGAAGAGAGGTTTTACCAGAGGAAACCACAGCAGACCAAGCAGAGCCGACCTCCAGATCCTGACATGCAGGGGGCGAGGAAGAGGAGAGGAAGAAGAAGAACAGAGTCACAAACAAGAGAAGAAGAAATGCAGTTAAAGAGACCTCTGTTAGCTCCATGCAGTACACACACACACACACACACACACACACACACACACACACACACACACACACACACACACACACACACACACACACACACACACACACACACACACACACACACACACACACACACACACACACACACACACACACACACACACACACACACCACACACACACACACACACACACACACACACACACACACACACACACACACACACACACACACACCACACACACACACACACACACACACACACACACACACACACACACACCTCAAAGGTTAGGTTAATCACTGATTAACGTGTCCTGCAGGGAGACGCGCGGCAGCTATCAGCCTTTATACTGGGTGATGAAACATGGCTGCCTGAAGAGCTCCAGTTTGAACAGTCAAGATAAAAACACGGCTCAACACACTCGCTGTGTGCTCAACCTGAATTCCCTGGCACTCACCAGAGTGTGACGACACACCGTGAGCTCACATCTGCATTAAAGATTAGTCTGGGATTATCATGAACATGGCTTCAGGCAGGTCACGCTGTAGTTCCTTTGTTTATGTTGCAGGTCACGTTGAAGGTCACATTGTAGGTCACGTTGTAGGTCACGTTGTAGGTCACGTTGTAGGTCACGTTGAAGGTCACGTTGAAGGTCACGTTGTAGGTCACGTTGTAGGCCACGTTGTAGGTCACGTTGTAGGTCACGTTGCAGGTCACGTTGCAGGTCACGTTGTAGGTCACGTTGCAGGTCACGTTGCAGGTCACGTTGAAGGTCACGTTGTAGGTCACGTTGCAGGTCACATTGTAGAGCCGATTACATTGTAGGTCACGTTGTAGGTCACGTTGCAGGTCACGTTGTAGAGCCGATTACATTGTAGGTCACGTTGCAGGTCACGTTGCAGGTCACGTTGCAGGTCACGTTGCAGGTCACGTTGTAGGTCGCATTGTAGGTCACGTTGTAGGTCCCTTGTAGGTCACGTTGTAGGTATATCAGCAGTATATCAGCAGTATATGAGCAGTATATGAGCAGTATATGAGCAGTATATCAGCAGTATATGAGCAGTATATCAGCAGTATATCAGCAGTATATCAGCAGTATCTGAGCAGTATCTGAGCAGTATCTGAGCAGTATATCAGCAGTATCTGAGCAGTATCTGAGCAGTATATCAGCAGTATCTGAGCAGTATATCAGCAGTATCTGAGCAGTATCTGAGCAGTATCTGAGCAGTATCTGAGCAGTATTAGTACCTGGTTGACGACGTACACCCCGTAGTCCAGCTGCTGTCTCTGCAGGATGGGGTGCAGGTAGTACAGCCAGAACTTCAGGTGTTCCTCTCGGTTGCGGAAAGGGATGATGATGGCCACCTTCTGCTGCGCCACACAGTCTCTGGGTCTGAAGCGCCCCCCCGGCTGCAGGGCGGGGTTCTCCTTCTTTATCAGCTCCTCTTTCACCGGAGAGCTGAACTCCACCCGGAGGGGACCCACTGAGACACAAACAAGATGCTTCCTGTTACTGTGACATCACATAAACCTGATCCTCCATCACCTCCTGATACTGTGACATCACCTCCTGATACTGTGACATCACTTACTGTGACATCACCTCCTGATACTGTGACATCACCTCCTGATACTGTGACATCACTTACTGTGACATCACCTCCTGATACTGTGACATCACCTCCTGATACTGTGACATCACTTACTGTGACATCACCTCCTGATACTGTGACATCACCTCCTGATACTGTGACATCACTTACTGTGACATCACCTCCTGTTACTGTGACATCACTTACTGTGACATCACCTCCTGTTACTGTGACATCACTTACTGTGACATCACCTCCTGTTACTGTGACATCACTTACTGTGACATCACCTCCTGTTACTGTGACATCACTTCCTGTTACTTATGGGATGTGTTCAGGTAGTAAAGTGTTCAGGTAGTAATGTGTTCAGGTGTTAATGTGTTCAGGTAGTAAAGTGCTCAGGTAGTAATGTGTTCAGGTAGTAAAGTGTTCAGGTAGTAATGTGTTCAGGTAGTAATGTGTTCAGGTAGTAAAGTGCTCAGGTAGTAATGTGTTCAGGTAGTAAAGTGCTCAGGTAGTAATGTGTTCAGGTAGTAAAGTGCTCAGGTAGTAATGTGTTCAGGTAGTAAAGTGCTCAGGTAGTAATGTGTTCAGGTAGTTAAAGTGCTCAGGTAAGTAGATGTGTTAGTAAGTGCAGGTAAGGCTAGTATAATGTGTTCAGGTAGTAAAGTGTTTCAGGTGTTAAAGTGTGCAGGTAGTAATGTGTTCAGGTAGTAAAGTGTTCAGGTGTTAATGTGTTCAGGTAGTAAAGTGTTCAGGTAGTAATGTGTTCAGGTAGTAAAGTGTTCAGGTAGTAAAGTGTTCAGGTAGTAAAGTGTTCAGGTAGTAAAGTGTTCAGGGGCCTCATTTATAACGCCTTGCGTAGGATTGACGTAGGAAGGTTGCTTACGTAGTACAAAGCACAAAAATAGGTACATAAATGTTCCGCCATTTTCCGATTCACAAAACATTGCGTACCGGCGAGGGAAGTGCGTACGGCACTCCCTACGCCTGTTTCCCTTTATAAATCACAATGGACTCGTAACGCCCATATTTGCCTATAAATAGTCAAAGAAACGCCCATTCATTCATTCATTTTGACTGACTGCATGAAGAAGATCGCAGGAAATAACGATAGAACAGCTAAAAAAGACATCTCGCACCGTGTCAGATTTTGGTTATTTTGGGGAGGTGGAGATAAATCATATTGTTTGGTGGATGCAGTTTGAACCAGAGTAGCAGCATGGAGGTCGGATCGTCACCAAAATAAATAAAGTGGTCCGAAAAAAGTTAATGACAAAAAAAATACACATAACCTTCCTCAGGCAGTGTGTTTGTACCGGGGACAGGAGACCCCCCCCTTGATGAGAAACTGTAAGAAATGATCGGGGAATCCCTCCGGAGTGGAGTCATGACGACTGGATCTGAATTATTTTTGTTGTATTTGGTGGTTTGTGTTCCAGCTGTCGATCAGCAACTATATATCCATAATCCACCAGTTAAAGGAAATACAATGGGTTGTGTTATATTAGCTGTACAATTTACCACATATGGTGTTCTTAGTTTCCATACCTCCTGTGTTTTACGAGCGACTTATCAAGTCTTGGCAAACGGCATAAAACACGATTAAACGTGATAGTATATAAAACCACGCTCGTATCTACAACCTATAGAAATGCAAAACGGCGTCAGTTTAGACGTAATTCTGTCCCCCTGCTTACCGCATCATTTATGAGAAAACATTTCATAACATTAACACAACATATTCGAGGTGGTTTTAAATAGCATATCCGTATTTATTTATTTCTCCAAGTTATGTTTTTGTGTGCACTGAGGAGTCTCAAACAGGCGTTTGTTTAATCATTTAAAGATTGGCTTTAATCAATGTTTGAAAAGGAATTCTTCATATTTGATAAATGAGAGGTAACATTTTATTTATGGTATTATTTCCACATATTTCTCTCCATTCTTTCTTCTGCCAACGGTGTCGCAGTTTCTCGTCTCTCCCGTTTGTGTGCTTAGTGCGTACGCATGGGTTAGAGTTTGCGTGGAGGACCGCACATTTTCCCGTCAAGTTAGTATTTTATAAATCGCAAACATTGCGTAGAAACTGGCGTACGCCATTTTTTGAGCGTATATCCCTTTATAAATGAGGCCCCTGGTGTTAATGTGTTCAGGTAGTAAAGTGTTCAGGTAGTAAAGTGTTCAGGTAGTAATGTGTTCAGGTGTTAATGTGTTCAGGTAGTAATGTGTTCGGGTAGTAATGTGTTCAGTGTTTATGTGTGCATACCACAACACGTGGTTCACAATGAAAAGCAAACATGACTCCCTGTAGTTCAACAGCTCTGAGGTTAAACTGGTTCTACGGTCTGAAGCTCAGTCAGCAGCTGCAGCTGGAGGGGGGAGGGAGGAGGGGGGAGGGGGGGGGGGGGGGGAGGAGGGCTGACAGGATGATGCAATAACAAACAAGCTCCTTAAGAAAAACAAACATAAACTGAGTCAGTGTGAAAACATCTGCACAGCTGACTGCACCCCCACACACCCCCCCCCCCTGAATATCTGCACGTCTTGTTTTCAAAGGTGCAGCTGCTCTCTGAACATCATCAGTATAACAAACCCTGAAGACCCTCCTCACATTTCTACCTGTGGGAATAACATCTCTTATAACCCGTTCACCTTCACTACCTTTAGATCCTAATATCGCTGGAGGTCTGAACACACCTGGTCCTAACGAGCCACAATGACGAGGGAACCACAATGTCAACAAGGGAACCACAGGTGAATGTCAACAAGGGAACCACAGGTGAATGTCAACAAGGGAACCACAGGTGAATGTCAACAAGGGAACCACAGGTGAATGTCAACAAGGGAACCACAGGTGAATGTCAACAAGGGAACAACAGGTGAATGTCAACAAGGGAACAACAGGTGAATGTCAACAAGGGAACAACAGGTGAATGTCAACAAGGGAACCACAGGTGAATGTCAACAAGGGAACCACAGGTGAATGTCAACAAGGGAACCACAGGTGAATGTCAACAAGGGAACAACAGGTGAATGTCAACAAGGGAACAACAGAGGCCTGTACTACGAAGCCGGATTTTCGCTTAACCGGCTAACTTCAGGGAAAACTCTGGCTTTCCGGTCCTACGACGCTGGTTCTCTTTTTAGCGGGCTAGATCTCCATGGTAACTGATGCTGAACGGCTAGCCTGGTCCGGAGCAGGTTAGGTTCCAGGATAAGAGATCAACTCAGTGAAAGCACCGCCTGCTGACCAATCAGAGCTCAGTGTGCGGAGTTTAAAGCTATCAAGTCATATTACAGGATAAAGGAAATACAGAAAAACTGCCGTTGCAGGAAAGACGACCGGCCAAAATCAACTGACTGTGTGAACGTGAACATTAATAGAATATCCCCTCCCATCTTCAGAGCAATCTGACTATTATAACATTAGCGTTAAGAAAGCTTACTTAAATATCTGCCACAACATAAGTAACCGGATCAGAGTAACATTACGTACAGTCCGCGGCACTGTGAGTGCAGACGTTGATGTGTCCCATTATCATTCATATCATATCACATCATAATGTATCATATATTTCCTTATTTGAGTCAGCTTCTTGAGCCGTATCTGGCTGTGCAACACTCACAGTGTCACATACTGTATGCAGAAGTATTATTTTAAGCAACACATTAAGTTGACGAAACACTCGAGTCAAATGTAATTAAAGTCAGATCGTGTCTTGGACAGGGCAGTGATATCATAAACCTGTTAATGTACGCATTCAAACGCTTTTTCTTTTACCAGCTGTATTCACCTTGCAGGTGCAGCTATGTGGCTTTTATCCTGGATAAAGTGTTTAAGTCATGGATGTTTAAAGTTTAACTTCTTCATATTTGACTAATATTAAAGTTCACTTTTCATTCAGGAAGTATGACGCTGCGCTGTCAGTACGCTTGTCCATGTTTGTGATTGGTCGAATGCTCCAAATACCACCCCTTTCATGTGAACGCGCACCTAACTAGATAGGACACGACTGGCTTGAGAGATCCACTTGATAACCAGCGTCGTAGGACCGCTTAGCGAGAGCGCGTATGTTTTGGATTGGGCCAACCGGCTAACTCAAACATATCCAGGTTATGTTGAACCGGCTTCGTAATACAGGCCTCAGGTGAATGTCAACAAGGGAACAACAGGTGAATGTCAACAAGGGAACAACAGGTGAATGTCAACAAGGGAACAACAGGTGAATGTCAACAAGGGAACCACAGGTGAATGTCAACAAGGGAACAACAGGTGAATGTCAACAAGGGAACAACAGGTGAATGTCAACAAGGGAACCACAGGTGAATGTCAACAAGGGAACAATTAAAAACAACAGGTGAATAATGATAAGGTAATATGAGGTCATTAGTGAGTTATTTTATTCTGAAGCGTCTCTCTGAAGGCAGTAAAATGAATTCCTGTGAAGCCTCACCTGGAGCTCTGTACCTGTGAGAACATGTCTCACACACACACACACACACACACACACACACACACACACACACACACACACACACACACACACACCACACAACACACACACAAACTACACACCACACACACACACACACACACACACACACACACACACACACACACAACACCACACACACACACACACACACACACACACACACACACACACACACACACACCACACACACACACACACACTTTACGGGTTTATCTGCATCTCATGTAAATATTGGAGCTCTCCACTTTAATATAGTATGTGTTATATAGCATCATATGTAACTCGTCTCACTTCCTCACATAATGATATGTTGTGTACATGTTGTCTTGTTGATCCCTGTAGAACAACATGTTCTCTCTGTTTCTACTCATGTTGTGAATGGTAAAGTGTCCTCTGAATAAAACCTGTTATTAATATTAATCTCTGTTTACATCAGCAAAGCTCTTAAAGTATTTGTAATATTTTATAAAATGTAACTGGACTCACTTCCTGACATAATTATATTTTGTGTACATTTTGTATTGTTTTGCATTAGTTTCAACTGTCTTAAAGCTTTTATAACAGTACTATTTGTATTAGTTTTTCTTCGTATTCTTCCTTCTGTATCTCTGTAGGCTCCACATAAACCTGGTTCTGATTCTGGTTCTGGTTCTAAAGAAAGTTATAATGTCAGTACTATTTGTATTAGTTACATTAGTGTTAAAGCTTTTATAAGCTAATAATAATGACTTAACAGTACTATTTGTATGATCCTGTTGTGGTTCTATAGCCGCAGGTCTCACCCAGCAGAGGCGATGTTTCCGGGCACTTCTCCAGCTCCTTCTCCCTGGGATCCAGCTCCTTCTCCCTGGGATCCAGCTCCTTCTCCCCGGGATCCAGCTCCTTCTCCCCGGCCACGGAGGGCAGCTCGGAGCTCCGGATCAGGTTCTTCTCGGTCCGGTTCACCCGGTTCTGCTGCTGGTTCTGGACGAAGGCGGACGGGATGTCCAGAGAACGGACGTAGAAGAAGAGAGTGACGGAGATGTGGAGGAAACACAGCAGAACCACCAGCTTACAGGTCCGGTGGAGCAGCGAGAAGTCCCCGGCCATGGTGACTGATTCCCGGCGTGACACAGAGCAGGCAGGGGGTTAGCTACATTAGCTTCAGTTAGCTTCAGTTAGCAGCTACATTAGCTTCAGGTCCGTTACAGTTTAAACTTTAAACCATTAAGTGTCTCCGTTCCCTGGTTCAGTAGATAAACGGCTGAAGAAAGGAGGACACTTCTTCGACTTTAAGGAGAACACTTGACTCTGTACTTTCCCCCGAATATCAGCTGCTGGTTTCAGGCGGAAAAGTTGAGAAAGTACCGGAGAAACTCGACGGACTCATCGGACTCTCCGTCTCCACCGACAAGAGCCGAACTGTTCCGACAAGACCCGAACTGTTCCGACAAGAGCCGAACTGTTCCGAACTGAGCCCAGAGGAGCCGAGAGGGGCCGAGGGGGCAGAGAAGAGCCGAGAGGAGCCGAGGGCAGCCGGGAGGAGCCGAGAGCAGCCAAGAAGGGCCGAGAGGAGCCGAACTGTTGCGAGAGGAAGAAAAAAAATGTCAAAATTCTCAGATTTTCAGCCAAACATTAAATATATACATTAAAGTCCAAATTTGGAGATTCGAGGGAAAAAAATCTGAATTATGAGATTTTCGGACAAAAAGCAATTTTTAGGTTTTTCAGAAATAAGTCAAATGTTGAAGTTTGAAGAAAAAGGCTGAATTTTCAGAAAACAGTAAACAAAACAACAACTCAGAATTCTGCCCTAAATCTCTTCTGAGTTTAAATTCAAACTCTTACATCGATCAAAATGTATGTGATTATTTTCCAGCCGATTGATTTGATCATTTACTCGATAGATCATTTTACAGCTCTCCAAATTACATGTTTCTGAATATTCGGGCAAGTTTTGGGGGAAATCTCATTATTCTGACTTTTTCCCTAAAACTATACTTTTTTCTTAGAATTTTTTCAAATCTCCAAAAAAAAAAAAATCTCAGAATTTTGAGATTTTGAGGAGAAATCTGAGAAAAATACAGAAATTGAGATTTTCTGAAAATATCAGAATTTGTGACAATATTAAGAAAGACTGCAGAAGAAAACTAAACTCACTCTCCAGCAGAGATAACAGCGTCGATGGGGATGCTGGAATCCATGACTTCAGAAACCAGTTAAAACTGTGGGAGCCACAGAGCTGTGGGCTCAGATCAGTCTCATAACACACACGTGCACACAGAAGGATGCACACAGAAGGATGCACACAGAAGGATCCACACTAATGTGTTGCGTTTCATAAACATGTAAATAAGATCCAAACACAGAACAAAGTGTTACGTATGCATTTCTGATCCACACATCTGTTTCCCGTTTAAAACCTCTGAACCTGCACACAACCCGCTCTCTGTGCATGCTGTGGGTTTCTGAGACTCCCCTGACGCCCGATTCCTACTTGTAATGTTTTCTATCTATAGCCAATCAGATGTCTCCTCCATTCTAAGCCAATCACATGAGCGCGCCCCCACGAGGGGATGATTTATTGCGTTCATGGCGTAGCACGTAGGTAAAGGCACATCTGTATATGATCATTATAGTTGTAAAAAATAAGAGAATAAAGGAAACAGGTATAAAATACTAGATGACAGTTAAAAAAAGTTGTTATTAATAAACAAGAATACAGTTTGAAAGGAGAGTGATTATAAAATATCCATAAAGAAAAAAAGAAATCTGCTTAGAGGTCTGTTTCATATGGATGTTGAGAGATGTAGCCATAGCTCTCTCCATGTTGCTCTCAGAGTGCACCAGATTGATGCTTTGAACTTCAACAAGGAGCATGCCCCCCGGACCCCCAGAGGAGGTGAGGTCCCCCTAGAGGAGGTGAGGTCCCCCTAGAGGAGGTTAGGTCCCCCCTAGAGGAGGTGAGGTCCCCCATAGAGGAGGTGAGGACCACCCTAGAGGAGGTTAGGTCCCCCCTAGAGGAGGTGAGGTCCCCCCTAGAGGAGGTGAGGACCACCCTAGAGGAGGTGAGGACCCCCCTAGAGGAGGTTAGGTCCCCCCTAGCTGATGAGTTAGGTCCCCCCCTATAGAGGAGGTGAGGACCCCCCTAGAGGAGGTTAGGTCCCCCCTAGAGGAGGTGAGGACCCCCCCCTAGAGGAGGTGAGGTCCACCCCCCACTTAAATCATGTCCACATGGATATGAAACTAAATACATTTGCACACAGCTTGTGTCCATATCTTTCTGTTTTGGTGGTCATGCCACACCGTGCACGTGCATGCATGCCACACCGTGCACGTGCATGCATGCCACACCGTGCACGTGCATGCATGCGCGAGTCATGGTGAGAGATCTGGATTCAGAGGTTCTTTTTCTTTGCACACATGAAAGAAAGGTGAAATGAATGGGCTGTGATTTTAGTTTTTTGAAGCAGAGGTCAATCGTTTGTACGGCCCTTGAGAGGAAAAAGGTTCCCCACCCCTGGGTTACACAGACATTTCTAACTCGCTTTCTTTCCTGTATCTTTGTGTTACTCACAGCTGATGCTTGGCCTCCGATGGTTTGGATGATATTGTGCGATGGGTTTGCTCAAAATAAAATAACAAACTTTTCACACAGGTAACAAAGAAAACAGGTCTTTACAAAAGCCAAAACAAATCAAAGAATAACCAACGTAGGTATTCTTTCTTGCTCTCTCTCTTTGTTAAGGCTTGTATAACCTGGTAACTTAAAGGGTGATTGAACGGTTCAAAACTGTGTCTCTACAGCGTCTTTCTGACCCTCTGTCTCTTTAGAGGAGGCATCGTGGGAATTGTAGTCTTTTATACTCTGTTGACTACAGACGTCACGATTAGGTGGCCTTTTTTATAAAAACGAAATACTGGCTCCAACAATCACCTTAAAGAATAAACTGGGAATAGGATGAAAACATGACGTTACCTCAGAGCGGCTGGCCCTCAGGAGGATTCACTAAAGGAAACTCATGGACTATCGTTGGAGCTCCTGAACTCACCAAAGCCCAAACTGATGCGACGCGATGCTCAGTGATCGCAGCTATGAGTTAACAGGAAGTTCCAGCACATATACAGCAATGCGGAAGCTAGCGCCGGAGAACTAGGAGCTATATAACATTATCATATATGAGGGAATAAAGGACTCCGGGTTCATGTCTTCATGTTTTTATTTCTCGCCCTGTGGACTTATTAACGTACAATAAAAGTGTATTTATTCACAACACAGCAAACACGTGTGGACACATTTTGTTTCTGCTGTTTCAATCCTCCGTTATGTAAAAAGAGATCAAATATAAAAAATAGTTTTTGTGCATTCACACGGGAGGCATTCGACTCTGATCGCAGCATCATGTGTGTTTCCTCGCGGGTTTCAAACTACTTCTGCATTTTGATCTGAATTTAGAACCAAAAGGATGCCCAGATCAATCCAAACTAACACCATCAATAAAAAGAGTCGATGCTTTGTGAGGTCTTTCCTGAGAGGAGATCCAATCCATCCGGATCACATTCTCAAAGTCAAAGTCTGGTTCAGGAAGTGTCACAGCAGCATCCAATCAGAGCCCAGTCCTCGGGGCCCGTCCCCCACATTGGTCAGCTGACCTACGGCCCCCCCACGTCCACATGGATCCGGGTGTAGAGGTCCAGCTTCTCCTTCTTCACCAGCGAATAGGAGAGGGAAGAGATCCCGTCTGAGGACATGGTCTCTAGCGTGTGAGCGATCTGGCCAAACCTGGGGGGACACAGATTCTTTATTAAGGGGGACCGTCTCAAAGAGATAACACAGGTAGCAACCGTAGGCTAAGAAACAGAGCTAACAGCTAACAGAGGTTCCACATCACAGTGGGTACAGGCTCCTTCCAGTAAAAGAGCCTCTTGGTTGAAGGTAAAGTAGAACGTTACCATGGTGTGTTCAATGTAATCTAGTAACATGTAGTGATTGTTGAGAAAAAGAGGGAATTATGATGTTTAACTTCCTGACAGAAGCTGGGATCGGACTGTAAAACACTGTTAAAACTGCTGAGGTCATAAAGACACCATCAGGTACGAAGAATCGGGGAATTGTAATTGGTTTTGGTTTTGACTATTAGATTTCTGATATGGTGAAACTATTCATCAATTAGGTTAGGAAGCCAAGCAGGCTCAGTTTATTAAAAACCCATACAGGTAAACTTTCTGAAGCAAGGTCTGGGAGAAGCCAACCTCCAATAAGAGGCTTTATAGAAGACCCCTGCATTACAAACACATCCCATGTACAAGCAATGTGGATCCTGAAGTCACTTGGTGATGTCAACATGAGCAAGAAGGGAAGTCAAGAAGTGTGATGATCAGAAAAGTGACCAGCAGGTTCCAGCTCCAAGCCCAGGGGGAGGGCATACCATCTACTGAGGAAAACCCAATGTAATGCTTAGGGAGGTGATCAGATGCTTCTCTAACGGACAGAACCAATGCATCCAGGACAGAGAGACAGACGAGTGGCTGAGGAAGATACAGGGCTCAGACGAACCAGGACGATTCAAGGCATGTCTCTTCCAGCTACCTCGACTCATGTGGTACCTGACCATGGTGGGAGTCGAGTAAACCAACTAGGTAGGGCTTTACATCAGGTCTGGCCAGTTACTGCTACCCCTATCCTCAGTGAGATCAGGACGTAAGTGGGCAGCAGTAACATCAGGGAGACCTGAGGAAAGCTCTCTGAAGGGACTGAAGCCCTGCATGGGAGACAAGGACTCGGACCCACCCACTTCCAGATTTGGGGGGAGAGAAGCCACGGCAAAGGGGTGACGTGATTCAAGCCGAGGTCCGTCACATGGAGGAGGAAGGGCGAAGGGCTTCTGAAGGAAAGCAAGTAGGACCTGCTGAAGTGGCCCCAAGTTAGTAGTGTACGACACCCTGTCAATGCCAACAAATGTGAGGGTCAGAGGGTGTCGTATTCTGTATAAACTGTAAAGCTCCCTGAGACCAAGCCTGCAAACTGTTATGTGAGAGGTGAGTGAGAGGCCCTTTGGAGAACAGGGAAGATATAGATGGCGTCATGACGAGGTCCTCAGGGCACTGGCTGGGATCTCGAAGCAGGACAGACGAAAAAGCGTCAGACCAATATGAAACAAGACTCAGGATCAGTCTTGGCAGGTGAGGGTGGACCTGGGAAGGAAACTACACTTTCCCCGAATCGTCCAAACATCCCTGAGGCCCGACATGCTCATAGAGTCTGAGGATCTTCCTTATTAAGCTGACGGTCCCGTGGGAAGGAAAGCCACAAAGTACCAGGACCTGGTCCATCAGTGCAGAGACAGAGGTTGGAAGACCTGGCTATTCCCAGTCGAGGTGGTCTGCAGGGGCTTCTTCTGTTTGCAGGATGCTCACAGCTCTAGGAATAGAAAGCTGTTTGTAGGTTGGGGGAGGCTGTGGGAAGAGCCTCACTGCTGACAACAGGAGGACGTTACGTTTCAGGGTCGAAGATGACCCCGTCCTGTCCAAAGGTCACAAGGAAACCACTGCAGGTGTTATCCGTTAGATGTTTCTAACAAAGTGCAATAACTTTAGACATCCCTGAGATTATTAGGGAAGTAACCCTCCCACCCATGTGTTACATACATATTAATAATCTTTATTTAAATATTGAAGGTTACCTCTGAGGGTTGGGCTCGTTCTTCTTGTCTCTGTTGTGCCGGATCATCCGATACTTCCCGATCTCGCCACTAGGCCGGGAGATGCTCATTCCTTTATATGAGAACCTGCAGACAGCAGCACATTATAGCACTGAGGTGTGTGTGTGTGTGTGTGTGTGTGTGTGTGTGTGTGTGTGTGTGTGTGTGTGTGTGTGTGTGTGTGTGTTGTGTGTGTGTGTGTGTGTGTGTGTGTGTGTGTGTGTGCTGACCTCCTAAAGATGTCGTCGTCCTCCCCCCCCCCAGCCCCAGTAGTTGTTGGGGAAGCCGTTGATCTTCAGGAACTGCTCTTTGCTCATCGAGGACACGCCTCCAAAGCACTGAGCGTAGGGTAACCTGCAGACACACAGAATGTCTCAGTTTATCTAATTTTAAAATGTGTCTCAGGTGTTTCCTGTGTGCCTCAGATGTGTCTCAGTGTGTCTTAGTGTGTCTCAGGTGTTTCCTGTGTGTCTCAGATATGTCTCAGTGTGTCTCAGGTGTTTCCTGTGTGTCTCAGTGTGTCTCAGTGTGTCTCAGGTGTTTCCTGTGTGTCTCAGCTGTGTCTCAGTGTGTCTCAGGTGTGTCCCTGTGTGTCTCAGATGTGTCTCAGTGTGTCTCAGCTGTGTCTCAGTGTGTCTCAGGTATTTCCTGTGTGTCTCAGATGTGTCTCAGTGTGTCTCAGTGTGTCTCAGGTGTGTCCCTGTGTGTCTCAGGCGTGTGTTCTCACCTGAATCCGAACTTGTCCACGGAGACGGACAGGTGTCTGGGCTGGCTGAAGCACCTGTAGGTGTTTCTGTCGTCCATGGGGATCAGGTCCACGTCGCTAAACACGAAGCAGTCGTAGTCGTAGTCCTTCAGAGCCTCGGCGTAGCCCACGTTCATAAGCTTCGCTCGATTAAAGGTGCCCTCTCCGTCCTGACGGGCACAGTTACGTTTGAATGTATGTGTGACTCAGAGGTTATCTGATATCAGACTACAGAACGCTTTCAGGGTAACTCAAGAAAAGAAAAGAAAGAGAAAAGCCTGTTTTACCAGAGCAGAAAACAGCAGACCAATCAGGGCCGGCTCTCAAGACACCGGGCAGATCCTGCAGTGTGAGGAGGACACGAGAGGAGAGAAGAAGAAGAAGACCAGAGTCACAACACACAAACAAGAGAAGAAGAAATGAAGTTAAGACCCAGTCCCAGACCCTCTGTTAGCTCAACACAGTCATCATTTATCCCCGTCTCGGTCACATTGTTAGTCACGTTGAAGTCTCTTTGTTTTTGTTATACGTCACGTTGTATGTCACGTTGTATGTCACGTTGTAGGTCACGTTGTACATCACGTTGTACGTCACGTTGTACGTCACGTTGTAAGTCACGTTGTAAGTCACGTTGAAGTCTCTTTGTTTTTGTTATATGTCACGTTGTATGTCACGTTGTAGGTCACGTTGTACGTCACGTTGTACGTCACGTTGTACGTCACGTTGAAGTCTCTTTGTTTTTGTTATATGTCACGTTGTACGTCACGTTGTACGTCACGTTGTAAGTCACGTTGTAAGTCACGTTGAAGTCTCTTTGTTTTTGTTATATGTCATGTTGTATGTCACGTTGTATGTCACGTTGTACGTCACGTTGTACGTCACGTTGTACGTCACGTTGTAAGTCACATTGTAAGTCACGTTGTAAGTCACGTTGTAAGTCACGTTGAAGTCTCTTTGTTTTTGTTATATGTCACGTTGTATGTCACGTTGTAGGTCACGTTGTACGTCACGTTGTACGTCACGTTGTACGTCACGTTGTACGTCACGTTGTACGTCACGTTGAAGTCTCTTTGTTTTTGTTATATGTCACGTTGTAGGTCACGTTGTACGTCACGTTGTACGTCACGTTGTAAGTCACGTTGAAGTCTCTTTGTTTTTGTTATATGTCACGTTGTATGTCACGTTGTACGTCACGTTGTACGTCACGTTGTACGTCACGTTGTAGGTCACGTTGTAGGTCACGTTGTAGGTCACGTTGTAGGTCACGTTGTACGTCACGTTGTAAGTCACGTTGTAAGTCACGTTGTAAGTCACGTTGTACGCCACGTTGTACGTCACGTTGTACGTCACGTTGTACGTCACGTTGTACGTCACGTTGTACGTCACGTTGAAGTCTCTTTGTTTTTGTTATATGTCACGTTGTAGGTCACGTTGTACGTCACGTTGTACGTCACGTTGTACGTCACGTTGTACGTCACGTTGTAAGTCACGTTGAAGTCTCTTTGTTTTTGTTATATGTCACGTTGTACGTCACGTTGTACGTCACGTTGTAAGTCACGTTGTAAGTCACGTTGTAAGTCACGTTGTAAGTCACGTTGAAGTCTCTTTGTTTTTGTTATATGTCACGTTGTATGTCACGTTGTAGGTCACGTTGTACGTCACGTTGTACGTCACGTTGTACGTCACGTTGAAGTCTCTTTGTTTTTGTTATATGTCACGTTGTAGGTCACGTTGTACGTCACGTTGTACGTCACGTTATACCTCACGTTGTAAGTCATGTTGTAAGTCACGTTGAAGTCTCTTTGTTTTTGTTATATGTCACGTTGTATGTCACGTTGTATGTCACGTTGTAGGTCACGTTGTACGTCACGTTGTAGGTCACGTTGTACGTCACGTTGTACGTCACGTTGTAAGTCACGTTGTAAGTCACGTTGTAAGTCACGTTGTACGTCACGTTGTACGTCACGTTGTACGTCACGTTGTACGTCACGTTGTAAGTCACGTTGAAGTCTCTTTGTTTTTGTTATATGTCACGTTGTATGTCACGTTGTACGTCACGTTGTACGTCACGTTGTAAGTCACGTTGTAAGTCACGTTGTACGTCACGTTGTACGTCACGTTGTAAGTTACGTTGAAGTCTCTTTGTTTTTGTTATATGTCGCGTTGTATGTCACGTTGTAGGTCACGTTGTACGTCACGTTGTACGTCACGTTGAAGTCTCTTTGTTTTTGTTATATGTCCATTGTAGGTCACGTTGTATGTCATGTTGTAGGTCACGTTGTAGGTCATGTTGTAAGTCACGTTGTAGGTCACGTTGTTGGTCACGTTGTAGGTCACGTTGTTGGTCACGTTGTAGGTCACGTTGTAAGTCACGTTGTACGTCACGTTGTACGTCACGTTGTACGTCACGTTGAAGTCTCTTTGTTTTTGTTATATGTTACGTTGTAGGTCACGTTGTACGTCACGTTGTACATCACGTTGTAAGTCACGTTGTAAGTCACGTTGTAAGTCACGTTGAAGTCTCTTTGTTTTTGTTATATGTCACGTTGTATGTCACGTTGTAGGTCACGTTGTACGTCACGTTGTACTTCACGTTGAAGTCTCTTTGTTTTTGTTATATGTCCGTTGTAGGTCACGTTGTATGTCACGTTGTAGGTCACGTTGTTGGTCACGTTGTAGGTCATGTTGTTGGTCACATTGTAGGTCATGTTGTAAGTCACGTTGTAGGTCACGTTGTACGTCACGTTGTACGTCACGTTGAAGTCTCTTTGTTTTTGTTATATGTCACGTTGCATGTCACGTTGTAGGTCACGTTGTACGTCACGTTGTAAGTCACGTTGTAAGTCACGTTGTAAGTCACGTTGAAGTCTCTTTGTTTTTGTTATATGTCACGTTGTCGGTCACGTTGTACGTCACGTTGTACGTCACGTTGTACGTCACGTTGTACGTCACGTTGTAAGTCACGTTGTAAGTCACGTTGTACGTCACGTTGTACGTCACGTTGTACATCACGTTGTAAGTCACGTTGAAGTCTCTTTGTTTTTGTTATATGTCACGTTGTATGTCACGTTGTACGTCACGTTTGTAAGTCACGTTGTAAGTCACGTTGTAAGTCACGTTGTACGTCACGTTGTAAGTCACGTTGTAAGTCACGTTGTAAGTCACATTGAAGTCTCTTTGTTTTTGTTATATGTCACGTTGTATGTCACGTTGTACGTCACGTTGTACGTCACGTTGTAAGTCACGTTGTAAGTCACGTTGTACGTCACGTTGTACGTCACGTTGTAAGTTACGTTGTAGTCTCTTTGTTTTTGTTATATGTCACGTTGTATGTCACGTTGGAGGTCACGTTGTACGTCACGTTGTACGTCACGTTGAAGTCTCTTTGTTTTTGTTATATGTCCATTGTAGGTCACGTTGTATGTCATGTTGTAGGTCACGTTGTAGGTCATGTTGTAAGTCACGTTGTAGGTCACGTTGTTGGTCACGTTGTAGGTCACGTTGTTGGTCACGTTGTAAGTCACGTTGTACGTCACGTTGTACATCACGTTGTAAGTCACGTTGTAAGTCACGTTGAAGTCTCTTTGTTTTTGTTATATGTCCGTTGTAGGTCACGTTGTATGTCACGTTGTAGGTCACGTTGTTGGTCACGTTGTAGGTCATGTTGTTGGTCACGTTGTAGGTCATGTTGTAAGTCACGTTGTAGGTCACGTTGTACGTCACGTTGTACGTCACGTTGTACGTCACGTTGAAGTCTCTTTGTTTTTGTTATATGTCACGTTGTATGTCACGTTGTAGGTCACGTTGTACGTCACGTTGTAAGTCACGTTGTAAGTCACGTTGAAGTCTCTTTGTTTTTGTTATATGTCACGTTGTATGTCACGTTGTAGGTCACGTTGTAGGTCACGTTGTAGGTCACGTTGTACGTCACGTTGTACTTCACGTTGAAGTCTCTTTGTTTTTGTTATATGTCACGTTGTCGGTCACGTTGTACGTCACGTTGTACGTCACGTTGTACGTCACGTTGTAAGTCACGTTGTACGTCACGTTGTACGTCACGTTGTACGTCACGTTGTACGTCACGTTGTACATCACGTTGTACATCACGTTGTAAGTCACGTTGAAGTCTCTTTGTTTTTGTTATATGTCCGTTTTAGGTCACATTGTATGTCATGTTGTTGGTCACGTTGTTGGTCATGTTGTAAGTCACGTTGTAGGTCACGTTGTTGGTCACGTTGTAGGTCACGTTGTTGGTCACGTTGTAGGTCACGTTGTACGTCACGTTGTACGTCACGTTGAAGTCTCTTTGTTTTTGTTATATGTCACGTTGTATGTCACGTTGTAGGTCACGTTGTACGTCACGTTGTACGTCACGTTGTACGTCACGTTGTACGTCACGTTGTAAGTCTCTTTGTTTTTGTTATATGTCACGTTGTATGTCACGTTGTATGTCACGTTGTAGGTCACGTTGTAGGTCACGTTGTACATCACGTTGTACTTCACGTTGAAGTCTCTTTGTTTTTGTTTTATGGCATGTTGTAGGTCACGTTGTACGTCACGTTGAAAGTCACGTTGTACGTCACGTTGTAGTCTCTTTGTTTATTTTATACCTCACGTAGTACGTATCTCAGCAGTATATCAGCAGTATATCAGCAGTATATCAGAAGTATATCAGCAGTATATCAGCAGTATCTGAGCAGTATATCAGCAGTATATCAGCAGTATATCAGCAGTATCTGAGCAGTATATCAGCAGTATCTGAGCAGTATCTGAGCAGTATCTGAGCAGTATCTGAGCAGTATTAGTACCTGGTTGACGACGTACACCCCGTAGTCCAGCTGCTGTCTCTGCAGGATGGGGTGCAGGTAGTACAGCCAGAACTTCAGGTGTTCCTCTCGGTTGCGGAAAGGGATGATGATGGCCACCTTCTGCTGCGCCACACAGTCTCTGGGTCTGAAGCGCCCCCCCGGCTGCAGGGCGGGGTTCTCCTTCTTTATCAGCTCCTCTTTCACCGGAGAGCTGAACTCCACCCGGAGGGGACCCACTGAGACAAGAATATAAAAAGATGGTGCGTTCAGGGTGCGTCAGATCTCACAGAGACCTGATGACTCTATAGCAGCAGTCATCAGTGCAGCTTTACCTATGAGAAACCCCCTATGAAGGAACACACACACACACACACACACACACACACACACACACACACACACACACACACACACACACACACACACACACACACACACACACACACACACACACACACACACACACACACAACACACACACACACACACACACACACACACACACACACACACACACACACACACACACACACACACACACACACACACCTATATAACACACTACAACTCTGTAAAGAACATCCATCTGTTTGCTAATTATTTATACATATCATATTCCATCTTCTTGTATACAGACTCTTCTGGCACTATTTCTATTTTATTTGTATTAACTTGCTCATCTAAGAACATTCTCTTCACTATTTGATCTGTTTTATGTATTCATGTTGCTCTGTTGGAGGAGGACTCCATCTCTCCTCTGAAGCTGCTGAGCACACGGTGATAAACAGGGAGAGTCACTCGGGGTCTTTTTCACCGACTCCGGATTATCCAGACCCCCGAGTGAGGCTCAGAGGGAAGCCCCGTTTGAGGTCTCTAAAAAAAAGAGACCTGCAAGCAGAAACTTGAACGAAATAGAAAAACGGGCTAATTTAGAGACAATATAAAACCAACATGAGCTTCATAAACGTCGCTACTTGGAATGTACGTGGTATTCAGTCTAAGAACTTTCGAGAGAGGAAAATCAAATATTTATTGGACACTAACTATGATTTCCTCTTTACGCAGGAACTTAGACTGAATACCACCGGGGATGTTGACGATGTATGTAAAATGTGGCACAAAGGAGAATGTATTATCTCCATCGGAGATAGCAGAGCTGATGGAGTTGGCATTTTCTTCAAGGAAAGGGACATTACTATTATTTGAAGAAGGGACATAATTCCAGGAAGGCTGCTTATGGTGGATTGTTTTTATAAAAATGAAAAATATCGACTTATTAATATTTATACTGCCCCTGACGCAACAAATAAGTTACAAATATTTAGAAAATTTAGAGAAATTTTAACAGTGGGTTATAAAATTATATTAGGTGGAGATTTTAATACAGTAACGGAAGATATAGATAGGTGTAGTACAGCTGTTTTTAAACTGAGGGCGGAAGGAAAACTGCTGAAAGAAATCTGCAGCGATGCAGGCCTTATCGATGTCTGTCGCTCACTTAACCCCGCAGGAATAGATTTTACGAGATACGATAAAACGACAAAAACCCTTATAGACAGGATGTATGTATCTAATCACTTCTCTGTTAGGCTACAACCTATAAAACCATTTAAAAAAAAAGAAAAGGAGGATATATAAAACCAACAATAAAAAAAACAACAGGAAATGGATGTTTTAACAAACCACCTAAACGTATACGAATTGGCATCAGGAGCTAAATTAAACCACAACAAAACTGAAGGTGTTTGGATCGGCACCGACGATGCCAAATGCGACATAAACATTCAAGTGAAAAAAGAAATTAAAATACTAGGAATAACTATTTGGAGCGACAATTGTGCCGAACTCAATTGGGAGAACAAACTAAGTGAAGTCAAAGAACAAGTTAAACAATGGGAGAATAAAAATACAAATTATAAATCAAGAATAAATATAATCAAATCTTTCATTCTTAGCAAGATCCTTTTTCTGGCAAACATTTTCCCCCCACCTACCCAAATAATTATGCAATTAAACAAACAGTGCGTCAATTTGGTGTGGGGTACAACCAGGGAGGTTTCAAAACGGAATTTATTGTTTAAAAGTAGGGAATATGGAGGCCTGGGAGCCGTAGACCTGGGCATTAAACTACAGATTACCTTTGTAAAAAACATCTCCGCTGCAATTCACAGGAAAGCACCTTGGGTTGAAGAGGGAAGAATGGGATGGAACAAGAGAAGAGGCCGCGCTAGAAACGGACCCTATTATAAACTAGTGTACGGGGACTTCACAACGGAACTCAAGCATTTAGCGATTGATTGGATCGGACTCCCGAATAGAGTAATTTTTAAAATAGTAAACGATTTTAAATATGGAGGTAATGTAATGTATAAAAACCTCACACCTGTCGAAGGCAACGAAGTTTTAAAATTAATAAAATGTAAACAATTGTCGGAGAGCACACTCTTAGAAATGAAATATGGATGTTGTTTGCATTAATTGCTTTTTTTATATTGAAACTACTAAGTAAATGCACTTTTTACAATTAAATCAAGAGACTTTAATTGCATTTATGTAAAAGTTCAAAGTTTTGGGATTACATTACCATGTTGTGTTGTATTTAAATGGTAAAGTTATTTAAAACGCACTGATTGTCCCAAAGTGCTTGCCGTACTTTCTCAGCACATGCGCTGTAAGACCGGGGACATGTGTCATTTGAATCCTGTGACTGTGAGATGACAGAACCGCATTTTTTCCCTTTCCTGTGCCATCCTGCGATGTTATGGTAAGTTTCTTAAATATTAACATATATTAAACACAAACGGTCCCTGAAATACAAAAGTTGATGTGTATTTTTGATTTCCCTGCTACCAACTGTATACGTTGATGATAGATTTGAAAAGCGGTGCAGCCTAGCTAACAGCTAGCTAACAGCTAGCTTAACGGTCACTTTTTAATTATGTTCCCTTGCACTTAAAAGTGTTAGAATATGTCACAAAAGAGGTGACATTTCAAGCTTTGTCTGTATAAGTCAATCGTTATGTATTTAATGATTTTAGCTTGATGTGGTTATAATAGTAATGTTAGCTCTTACCAAAAGTAAGTGGACACGTTTTTTCCCTCCTTTTTTTTTAATTTTTTTTAAAAATGTGCTTGATTTAAAGATTTGAGAGCCTGGTTGCAAACATCTCCAGTGCCAAAAAGGTCATAGTCGGTTAAGGTCTTCTAAGTCTATTAAAAATAACTTCATCAAGTGTAACGCCCTGAGGGAGGTTTTTTTGTTCAATTGTAAAGTTTATTTGGAAGAAATAAAATCCCATCTGTGCACTGTACTGTTGCGTCAGCCGGAGCCGTGCCTGGTCGTTACGTTAATTATGTCGGCCAGGAATATCAAAGTGTGAATTATTTAAAGCATGTACAGGAACACACTCAACAAGCACATCTTCCATTAAGACAGCTCTTAAATAGACACGTAATTCACCCGAAAACGTGTTTCTTTATAATAATCAGAGAGAGAGAGCAAGATTAAATAGTGGCAGGTACTTCAGCCGCAGATGCCACTATTTGCTGAGACAACTGCGGCTGCTGAAGGGGTGTTACTCTGGGTGCCGAGCCAAGCGAATGTGTGTGGCAGTTGCCACTTACCTGCCGTGGCAACTGCTTGTGTTTAAACAGTTATTTATCGTGGGAAAGTATTTCCATGTTCTGCTACTCTGTAATTCTACTCAATTACATTTCAGTGGGAAATATTGTACTTTTACAACACTACATTTATTTGACACTTGTAGTTACCTTTTTAGATAATGTTTATATTCATATACATGTACTACTAATTTACTCAGTTCTTTCCAAAATATGCTCTATATTAACAAATCACAACATTAAAAAATCTTGTATATATGTAGATTTTTTATTATAAGAACATTCATTTTTATTCTATGATGCAACCCTTTTACAAAAGGCTTTCTGCACAAAGTACTTTTTCTTTTGATACTTTATTATATTTGGCTAATAACACTTTGGAACTTTACCTTAAGTATTATTTTGAACTTGGGACTATAGCAAGTAATGGAGTATTTATACTTTTACTTTAGTACAGGATCTGAGTACTTTTTCCACCACTGCTTAAGATCCAGTAATGGGTTGCTATATCCTGCACCTCACACCCTGAATTATGTTAATGGCTGCAATAATAGTTGTTATTTACAATACATTTGGATCATTAACACATTTCTCTTTATCTCTAGGTTTTGAATGTGGAGATGCAAACAGTGTACTGAGACTCAATCTACAAGGTACCAATTACTGAAGCACTATAAATTAAAACACGGCCATTTTGGTTAGAGACACCCATATCCATGCACATACTATGAATGCCCATGCTCTTTCAAAACATGGAATGCTCTTAAAACACATTTAAGTAGATGTCATGTTGAATCTTTACCTGTATTAAGTGCAGAGCTATTTTAATAGATGCACATGTATAAGAAAAGAACCTCAGCTGAAATTCTTTGTTTGGTTTACACCAGTAGATGTCCTGTCCTTTCTGCTATGACACTTGATGGATATTATTAGCTTTAAACAAAACATTTGAACCTGTATCACAATGTGTTGCAGGTAAACGCAGAATTCACCCGCATCACCACCGTTCCGCTGCTGCCTACCTTCATGTCTCAACTGGATCGCCATTCGTCTCAGTTGATGAAGGTTTTCAAAAAGAAGGGGGGAACAGCAGGATGCAATTTGGGCCTGATCATGGCAGCCATGGACAAGGTATGTAGTTGTAATAAATTGTGTAGTTTGGGCACTGCAACACCATATTCTCTTTATCTCTCTCTCTTGTTGTCCCTCTCATATAAATATATTTTAACCTCTCTGACCCCCTTTCTTTGACTTGCCAAAAATCAGCACACAAGCATAATCAGTATTCTTGTGTGAAGATTTTGAAAATGTGTTTGTCCCTCAGGATCCCACAGTTGAAACACGACGGGACTGTGTCCTTAAAGCGCTCTGCGTCTACTTGAATGAAAGTTCCGAGAGCTTCATAAAGGAATATTTGGTAAGTTGAAACATAGCCAAACACAGATATATATATATATATATATATATATATATATATATACACCTGAACATCAGCAGGAGAGGACTCTTTAAAGTAGAGACACTACATACTGATATACACCTGATCAGCAGCAGGAGAGGACTCTTTAAAGTAGAGACACTACATACTGATATACACCTGATCAGCAGCAGGAGAGGACTCTTTAAAGTAGAGACACTACATACTGATATACACCTGAACATCAGCAGGAGAGGACTCTTTAAAGTAGAGACACTACATACTGATATACACCTGAACATCAGCAGGAGAGGACTCTTTAAAGTAGAGACACTACATACTGATATACACCTGAACATCAGCAGGAGAGGACTCTTTAAAGTAGAGACACTACATACTGATATACACCTGAACATCAGCAGGAGAGGACTCTTTAAAGTAGAGGACACTACATACTGATATACACCTGAACATCAGCAGGAGAGGACTCTTTAAAGTAGAGACACTACATACTGATATACACCTGAACATCAGCAGGAGAGGACTCTTTAAAGTAGAGACACTACATACTGATATACACCTGAACATCAGCAGGAGAGGACTCTTTAAAGTAGAGACACTCCATACTAATTTGAACCTGAACATTTGCATAATATGTCCTCTTTAAATAAAAATAATTGAATTTGTTTTTTATTCAAAGTATTTGCTGCTACTTTGGTTATATTGTTCATGTACATTTACAACTACATGTATTTATTTACAATGGATCCAATAAAAGGATTTGCTCATTTGTTTCATATTATAAAATGATGTGTGTCAGGGTTCTCATACTGATAATCATGAATACTATGTTCTAATCCCACTTTAGGATGTTGAACTTGCAACAACCCAAATGGAGCCAATGGTATTGGGACTCTATCTCGTGAAACACGAAGGAGCAGAACCCGGGCGTCATCATCGAGGGTGTTGGAGTGCTGCGAGAGCTGAAATACTTGGCAAATGGATGGGCAGTATTGCTTGGACTGATTTACAGCCTCAATCTGAGCTACCCCAAGGACCTGAAACATACATTTGAATTCATTCAAAAAGTATTGATGGGGTTGGATGGCAACAGACTGTCAACCAAGGTGCAGGTTCTGAAAAACAGATTACAAGAGTAATCCCAAGGACAAAATACTGTGACAGAGATAACGTCCAGTTCATTTCCATCTCGGTACATGCTCTCACACACCACACCACACCACACACACACACACACACACACACACACACACACACACACACACACACACACACACACACACACACACAGAGAGAGACCCCCACAAACACAGAGACACACACAGACACACACCACACACACAGAGACACAGACACTCACAATTGTATTTCTGCTTTTGAAAGTTCAAGACATATGTTCATGTGTATAACAGAGGCAAAGATCTACTGTAACACATTATGTGCTTGAGCAATATTATGTGATGCGTTTCATCTAAGTGTTTGGAAAGACATAAAAACACCATACTTCATAGTAAAGTTGCATTTTATAAAATGTTCAGATAATAAGTCATTATTGTAGCTTTTCAGCCCACATGTTAACTTCTTGAGTCACTCGTGTTTCTCATCACTGTCAAGTTCAGCAGCTGTCATGGGTTTTTTACGCAAAGAGCTTTAAAATTCTAATATGTGCACCTACCACAAATGGGCTGTTGAGTTAAGTGTTTTTTTTGTTGTTGAATTGTTGTGGCAATTCAGATGGTTGTTTGCAAAATGCAATGTTATAAGTGTAAAATGAACATTTAAAATAAAGTGAGCGGAATACAAATTACTGAGTTGGAGTCATTTGAATTACTTATATTGATAGAGCAATTTGGATTAAATGATGTTAAGTGCAAATAACACAATCCTACAACATAAATGGAACTAATTTGTGTTAAGTAATTACAACCTAACTGTTAGGTAAATCAGTGCAAACTTTAAGTAAATACAACATAATTGTGTTAAGTAAAAACAACAATTTAAGTAAATTCAACATAACTGTGTTAAGCAAATACAACATAACTGTATGATGTAGTATTTAATTAAGATGCTTTGGTAAGATTTACTTAAATGCAAGAAGTAAATATTAGTTTACTAGTCTGTTTCCTATTTACTTAGCCTTGTTACGTGCAGCCGGTTGACATAACTAGATTAAGTAAATCTAACATATCATTTCTTTGAGTGCATGAGAGACGTGAGGTGGCTGATATCTGTCAACAGACTTGCGGTCAGAGCTGTGGTCTCATGGAGCTGTTATGTCAAAACTAAAACATGCCCCATGATTAACTGTGAGGAAGACGAGACCTTACAGCACCTCCTCATGGACTGCTACAGAGCCGAGGAGGTGTGGTCGCTCCTGCGGGGCATCGGTTTAGTTTTCAATGTAAGATATGCCTCAATTATGTTTTGTATTCTAGATGAGGGGATGGGCATAAAGCAGAGGGAACTTTTTCAGATGATAATTTGTATCGCATGTATGAAAATGTGGAAAACAAGGTGTAAAATGATACTGAACCAGACAGTAATCGGCAGTAACACCATAGGGAAACAGATACTTACTGAACTAAGGAGAAAAAAGATCCTGGACAAATCCCAGACTCTGCCATGGGGCATCTTGAGTCTGTGACCTAACTGAGCCTCATAAGTAAAACGTGCTCTCCTTATGTTATTTATATATTTATACTTAGTGTGATGTGTGTATTATTGATGTAACTTGTATATAATGTACTGCCCTAATAATTTAAAATAAAGTTTTCTAAATAAACAGGGACTCTTTAAAGTATGAAGCCATGAAGCTCCTCTGTGTGATTCATCAGAAACACCTGAGCAGGTAACCCCCCCTCCGACCAATGAGACGGATGGCTCAGAGGGGAACCAGTTGGTCTGGATGACGTCGGGCGGACTCACCGAACCGGTTCTCAAACTGGTTCCTGTTTCAGGGCGTCTCTCTGTCTCTGAGCCAGATGTGTCTCTCAGTTTCAAACACTGCATTCCCTGCTCACTTAATAACATCCTGCTTTATATTCTGTCTAAAGCCCTTCAATAGTGTTTTATTGTCAGAGTGTATATATGTTTCATCTTCACGGTCTACTGTATATTTTTCTACTTTTTAATGATGATTTAATTCTATTTTGAGATGTTTACATTCTAGTTTTGTTTATTTCTACTCTTTAAATTCGACTTATGTGCAATGCCTTGTTCACAGGCTGCTGAGACGCAGACATCTCCCAAAGAGGGAGAACACATCCTCATACAGTCAGTCTCATCTTATTATCTGAAACGCTCCGAGCATCTGACTGAATTACAATGGGATCATTTAAAAAGTGCAAAAGATATCAAAAAGCTGAATTGAAGTGTAAAGCTGAAATGTCCTGTAGTCCGTTTCAAACCGGACGGACAGGAGGACGATTCATCGAAGACGATAAGATCAATATTTTAATTAAGTATAAAAGTCTGAGGTGTGTCTGAAACACCACGCCCATGATAGGCAAATCATGTGCTCGCCTCTGATCCTCCTGACACATCAACCCTCATCTTTAAACATTAATAATATCACAGAGAACGAGTCAGGACCAGGACCAGGACCAGGACCAGGACCAGGACCAGGACCAGGACCAGGACCAGGACCAGGACCAGGACCAGGACCAGGATCAGGATCAGAAACAGGTTTATCTCCAGGTATACGTACGAGGGATTTGACTTGGTGTCGTGGTGCAAACATAAAAAAACTAAGATTAAAAAACACAGATAGAAAACTGGAAAAATATAAAAAATGGAATAAAAAGGAATAAAATATGGAATAAAATTGGCAGTAATAAAACAAAAAGAAAAGAAATAGAGCGGGTCTTACCCAGCAGGGGGGCTGTTCCAGGGCACTGCTGCAGCTCCTTCCCCCCGGGACCCACTGCCTCCCCCCCGGGGTTCTGTCCTTTATCCCCGGGCTCTCCTGCCTCCTCTCCGCGGGGGGGGTCGGCGGGTCGGTCCTGGTTCCTCTTGGCCGTGTTTTCCTGCTGGTTCTGGATGGAGGGGTCGTCCTGCTGGTTCTGGATGGAGGGGTCGTCCTGCTGGTTCTGGCCCCACGGGGGGTACAGAGAGCGGTGGCTGTAGAAGAGGATGACGGAGACCTGGAGGAAACACACCAGCCAGACCAGCTCACAGGAGCGGCGGCGGAGCACGGAGGAGAGGGAGCCGAGCACCATGCTCTCTATCCGGGGAGAGATACTCTGAGAGGCGCTGAGGGAGAGGCACTGAGAGAGAGAACCTGTCAGGTGAGAGGGAGGCTGCCACTGAGGGAGGCTGCCACTGAGGGAGGCTGTCACTGTTTAAGGGAGAGTGAGAGAGCCGGTGTACCTGTCAGGTGAGAGGGAGGCTGTCACTAAGAGAGAGAGACGTGAACCTGTCAGGTGAGAGGGAGGCTGTCACTAAGAGAGAGAGACGTGAACCTGTCAGGTGAGAGGGAGGCTGTCACTAAGGGAGAGTGATACATTTAGGGCTGTGATCAAAAACTGATTTTTCTCAATTTAAATGTCTTTCTTCAGAATTCAGAAACGTTATTCATTTGGATGATCATTTCTCATGAGATTATATTTGTGACCAAAGTGAAAAAAAAACAATAGACTTCTGAATCCCAGAAGATTGGAGAAAAAAAAGTCTGAATTAAAAAATAAATCTGTATATTTCTTTTTCTGGAAAAATCAGTTGTTGTTGTTGTTTTGAAAATATGTTGTTGTTGTTGTTGTTTTGAAAATATGTTGTTGTTATTGTTGAAAATACGAACTACGTTTTGTTTTTTTCATCACATCCCAAAAAATATGTTCCGATTTTCAATGATAACACAAGACAACAACCCATGTGAGCAAATGTAAAGAAAAAAATATATATTTCTCACAATTTTTCTTTCTTTCTTCAGAATTCAGAAAAATTATTAGCCTACTTACAAATTTTTTCTGAAAAAAAAAATCTGAATTTTTTTCAGCAACTCTTTTTGATAAACTTTTGGTCACTTCCCAATTTGTTTTATCTCATGAGAATTATGTTTTGGGCTGTGATCAAAACGGAAACAATAGATGTCTGAACCGCAGAGTTTGGGAAAAGAAGTTTCTGTGTTTGTTGAAATCAGAACTCAACTCTTTTTATTTTGATCACATCCCAAAACATGTTTAGGGTGTGATCAAAATAAAAAGAGTTGAGTTCTGAATCGCTGAATTCAATTAAAAGAAAGTATTTCCTTTCTGATTGTTTCTCTTTATTTTCAGATTGTTTTATTCACTTAAAGGTAAGAATAGCCGCGTTCACACCGGAGTACTTTCACCGTACTTTTCGCGTTTTAGTTCCGTGAGTCGCGTTCACACCAAAAATCGTACTTAATCTCGGGTACTTTTACCCCCATTTTTAGAGCCAACTCAGAGAGCGTACTTTTCTGTGGGTGAAAAGAGCTCCAAAAGTTCCCCAGTGCTGATTGGCTGGGCGAATTGCAAACCACGCCCGTACAACTCTGAAAATGTTGTGTAGAGCCGCCATTGTTTTTCCTCGCTACAAAAACACAACGCTCCGTGCGTTGTGTTTGTTTTTGAAAGCAGTTATGGCAAGCATCAAGAAATGATGAGGAGGTGTCGGCGCTTCTGGAGATCTACGCCGAGGACGCGACCCAGGGAATGCACTGAAGCCAGTTCAGTAGCTTTCACTCGACCTGGGAATGTGCACAGCCCCACGGCACACCGGCTAAAAATAAAGAAACTCGGGCAGGACTACAAACGGCGGATTCAGTGGCCAACGATGACGACCACGACGAAGGTAAAATCAACTACATGCACTGGGGTTTTAATCTGCACAATAATGGTCTCAGATGTACTTTTATTTGCTCAGTAGATCAAGCTAGCCATGCTAGCCATAATAGGCTAACACCGGCCCCGAGCACACAGTACACACACACTGTAACTTTGTCTTGAAAGAACGTTACGTATCGAACTGATGTTCACAATCATGTTTATTTCATAATATTCATCATATTTTATGTTTAACTTGCCTTAACAACATTAAACAAAGTTCAAGCATACATGAAGCACTCTTCAAAAAGGAACAATCCTCCGTGTTTGAACCTCTTGAATCGCTGCATAGCCGATTTATTTGGACTGGATTATCCCAGAGGGTCTAAACATTCTTTATAACACAGTTTCAGATTTGTGAAACCTTAATTCTATTTGTGAAAATAAAAAAAAGGGAGATTTCAGTGCTTTTTTTACATGTAGACCACATTAGACCAGGTCCTGATCTAAAACCACTATACCTAGACTCATCAAATCTGGACTGGATTATCCCAGAGAGTCAAAAGATTCTTTATAACACAGTTTCAGATTTGTGAAACCTTAATTCTATTTGTGAAAATACAAAAAACACATTCCTAGTATGTTGTAAAACTACATGGCGACTAAACTTGTATATTGTATATTGCTTATTTTCCCCTCTTAGGAAAGCGGACACGGGATGCGAATTTCTTTGACACCGCCCAGGCGTTGGAGGACCGGCGTGCCGTGGTGAATGAGTCGCTGCGTGGAGATCAGATGGTGCTGTTCACCAAGGCCCAGGAAACGGAGGACAAGATGCTCACCTCGATGGAGCGCCAGGCAGAAGTGTTCAAGCAGCAGATGGAGCGCCAGCAGCACCAGGATGAAGTGTGGGCGCTGCGCCATGAGGAAGCGTCGGCGCAGCGGCAGGATGAGCGACAAACTGCATTTAATAACAGTTTATTTGGTATAGTTTTTGTAAATGTAAATACTGACACACGACACACAACGTTGCACTAAGGTGTGTATGCTGCTGAGAATATCCCTACACCTGGGACAGTTTATTTTATATTGTTATTACTGTTATGACTTTATTTTATATATAATGTTTACTGACATGTACAACTGACACTTTATTTACATTTAAAATTGTTCTATTTAATGTTATGTCTTGAGAGTGCAATAAAGAAAACCGACATGGCGATTAAGCTTATTTCTCCTGACACTTTATCTTTAGTGACCTGTGTAGCATCCTATACATCACATGTAAGTGATTATTCTGATACCATCATGTTTCATCGGTTATAAACTGGCAAAGCTTTATTTGTCATTTATTTATCATCAATGTTGCAACCTTGTGGGGGAATGGCAGGGGCACATACACAAATATGATAATTTATATCATTTTAAATATTATTTGACCTAAACTTTTAATTCCCCCCCATTTCACACAACACAACATGGAGTCCACTATGGGCCAAAACTAACATGTATGTTTGCATAGTGTTTATGGCAGACGGATGCAGTGGGTCTCAGGAAGATATATAATAAAGGTGGGTTTGCTGCTGAGACTCCCTACAGCTGGGAGTTTATTTTATATTGTTATTACTGTTATTATATAGTACAACTGACACTTTATTTTATATTGACAATGTTTACTGACATGTACAACTGACACTTTAGTTACATTTAAAATATTTCTATTTAATGTTATGTCTTGAGAGTGCAATAAAGAAAACCGACATGGCGATTAAACAGATCCTGTATCAGTTTTTCTTCTTCTCTTGGTTTGTAGCGGGTTGCAAACAACTTTAAGGTGCTTACCGCCACCTACTGTACTTGTAATCTTCCCTCAGGGAAAAGTACTCCGGTGTGAACGCGATCTGTACTAAGTACCCTGGGGTTAAAAGCGCCAGGGCTCTTAGTGCCGGAACTAAGTACAGGAAAGTACTTGGTGTGAACGCGGCTAATGGAGAAATGAGAAACCTTCAGACTCGCTGTTTGAGGGCTTGATAACCCACTCCCCCCCACACTCGGTGGTTTGGAACAGACCTTAAAGGTGGGGTAAGAACGGAGAAACCAGAGGCCAGGGGGGTATACTACGAATCTAGTTCAACATATCCTGGATATATTTTTGAGTTATCCGGTTGGCCTAATCCAAAAAAAACCCGGGGCCGTTCTCATTTCATCAAATCCCCCTCCTCGACTCCTCGACTCCTCGGTCCTCCGGTAGTGACCCGGAAATGAATTTCAGCGCGCCATGTTGAAGGACATCTCATTTCTCGAAATGCACATCGAGGACCGAGCATCGAGCGTCGAGGAGGCTCTCTGGAGGAGCTCTAACCGAGGATACACTGATGGGTCCTCCACGGTCCTTCACGGCTCCTTCGTGGATGCATTTCCGGGAACAGAGATGTTTCAAAGAGTCGTGACGCACGGCTGGACTGATCTCAGCCAATCACAGCTCTGCATGCATCCCCTGGATAGTAGGCTTGTTTGAGACGAGCTGCGGCTCGCCTCGAAAGTAGACGAGAATAGCCGATCGCAGCCGGGGGAGGTCTAAAAAAGCTCGCCTGAAGTCGGACAGCTCGGAGTCGGCTTCTTCTTCTTCTTCTTCTTCTTCTCTCGGTTTTTTGGCCGATTTCAAACAACTTTAAGGTGCATACTGCCACCTCCGGAGTCAGCTTGACTCGGTTTGCATTTATAAATGCACACGGCATCTATTGCACGTCTGTCCGTCCTGGGAGAGGGATCCCTCCTCTGTTGCTCTCCCTGAGGTTTCTCCCATTTCCCTTTAAACTGTGGGTTTTTCTCTGGAAGTTTTTCCTTGTATGATGTGAAACGTAAGGACAGAGGGTGTCGTATTGTCATACTGATATTCTGTACAAACTGTGAAGTCCACTGAGACAAATGTAACATTTGTGATATTGGGCTATATAAATAAACATTGATTGATTGATTGATAAAGAATGGACAAATGTGTTTAATCGTTAATGTCAGATATGTACTAAGTAAATACATTTGTTCCTGTTCAAGATTAGATTCAACTTTATTGTTATTGCACAGATTACAGGTACTGAGACAACGAAATGCAGTTTAGCTTCTAACCAGGAGTGCATAAAGCAGTAAAGTGAAAAGTAATGTACACAATCTACAGAATAAAATATAGAATGAATTGAATGATGAATAAACAGTGAGGGGTATGAATACACTATATACACAGTAGCCTAGCCTAGTATGAACAGTGTGTTGTATGAATATGCTAAGATATATAAAGTATGACAACGGTAAGCAGTGCAAGTATAGTATACAAATATATAGATATTAATTTCATGATGATAAACATTGTGGAACAATGATGAAAAATGTGAATGGAAGTGGCGACGTAAAACTGACACAAAACAACAACACACTTTTGCCGAGCCAATGGAGAGTTTCATCTCCAGCACGGGGTAAAAACCACCAATGAGCGCTCAGCTCGAGATACCAGCGAGTCGTTTCCCATCAAGCATTTCGCTTCCGCAGCCCGTGGAGAGAAACTGCGCCGCCTCGCCGTGCCTCGCTCTCAAGTCTGCGGGCGTCTTTGTCCCGCGAGATTTCAACGTCTCATGTAGGCGAGCCTCCAGAGCAAGTCGGAC